GGGGGGCTTTCTTTGAGTTGGGATAAGGGTGCTGGGGCTGGATCTGGGGCTGGGCTATGTTGTCTGGTGAGGGTATGGGGTTTATCTCGACTGGCTGGGGGCGCTTGAGCTTAGCGTGGGGAAGGAGTTGTTAGAGGTTTTCTTTTGTGAGGAGTTTTACTGGGTGTTGTTGTGGGAGGGGTGGTTTGTTATATGGGAATTGTTCGGGGTTTCTGTGATACAGCCTTCTGAAGGTGCTAGGTGCTAGGTGCTAGGAATGGAAATGGAAACGTGATTTCTGCAGAGAGAATCAAATTCGTGGATTGGTTGTATAGTATCAGGCCATGCTGTTGGTGCTAAATACAAGATGATGAGACTTGAGTGTAGGTAAGATTATAGTCAATCGGCCAGCGAGGATAGTCCGCATTCACGAGGTGTTTATCTTGCTAATGGCAAGGAAGGTATTAAGTGTCGGAAGTCTTTGTGAGATAGTAGTTGCAGCCAGCTGCTCGTGAGGAAGACGGAGCGTCCAAACCGCTGCGATAGCGGGAAGAGGATCAGGTCAAGGCGAACGAAGTAGAGCCGTAGGTCGAATGTCAACCCGCGAGGAGAAGCAGCCTAGACAAGCCCGTCAGTCCCGTTTACAAGCTGCAAGAATAGATCGGAGCCCCCATACCTTCCACACAGATGCCACAGCAAGTTTAGAACCAGGAAGACCAACCCAGTCACAAACACTAGTTACAAGCGAGTATTAGTCTCTGTAACCGCTCTCCTCTCTGAGATCTGCGACACTCACCTTCATACCCCCAAGACCGCGCTCTCTGCAACCGTCCCCGCTTCTTCAGCCATGTCGGAACCAGATCCTTCTGACAGGTCTCCCCGTCGATGACGAAGCAGCCCCCGGGGGACCGCAGGCACTCGAGGTGCCGGCGTCTGCGCTCCATGATCCGGCGCACCCGCGCATTGCAGAACGACTCGTCCGTGCGGAACGAGCACTTCTCCATCGGACACTCCAGCTTGCGCTCAAAGCGCTCCACCAGCCAGTCGACCTTGAGGTGGACACCTGTGTAGACCAGCGGGTAGAAGTGGCGGCAGCTGTGCTTCAGGGCCAGCGCGTCCGGGTACGGGAGGTAGGTTGCGATGTGGAGGTGGAGCTCGGTGGGGAGGTCCATGAGGGTGTATGATTTATCAGGCTGGGGGTCTGGGCTGTGCGATTCTGTGGCCATGATGGATTGCTTTTCCTGGTGGATGTTGGCACAGAGTATGATGCTGGGATTCTGAAGAGTACAGTACACAATCGCTATCTGCTCAGGTGGGTAGTTGATGGGTTGGGGAATGGTAGTTGCGTGTCACGTTTGTGGGATCAAGCCGTGCTGCTACCATGTACGAATGCCAGTTATCTCTTATGGGTGGCTTGTGGTCATGTTTGCTGCCTGGAAGTGGGAACACGAAGGAATGACCTGTACGGTGTCGCTGATACGAGCGAAGGGTAGGCAACAGGGGTAAACGGTACGGAGTAGGATGTCTCAACTATTTTGAGCAACGGGGGACACGAAAGGTGTCTTAAGCGGCTTCTTAGGCACGGAAGAGCAAGTAAGTTAACGCAAAACGAGCGATCTTGAAGACTTGCTTAGCTCCCCAGCATGGCACGTCAGTGAGTAGACATGAAGGTGGTCAAACATGAAATGCAAGCAAGCATCAGGCTACTATCTCGCGGGCTCCCCGCGCCTCCTATCGATAGCGAAGGTGGAGAGGCTAATCGATAAGTGAGGCTGAGCTTGAGTCCTGAGCAGTGAGGCTACAACAAGCAAACAGACCAAACAGACCAAACAAGCTTCGCCCCCCACTTAAGACCTCTTGTCCACCGCCTACCACTCTCGATTTGCTATGGGTAACTTATCCATTTGCCTCAGCAACTATCTGCCTCTTACGATAACTACAACTCACGACTTACTCTCTCCACAAACCCCAGCAACTCAACCCCGCCTCACAAACCAACTACACACAACCCACACCACCTAAAACCCCCAACTACACGCCTCAACCCTCTCAAAACCACATAGCCTCCAACAGAAAATGAGCAACAAAGACTCCGCCTACGGCGGCGCGCCCGCCTCGGACACAGCCTTCCGCAAGACCTGGGACCGGGACGAGTACGCGAAGAAGGCGGCGGCGGAGGAGACGCGGCGCAAGGAGGAGGCCAAGGCGCGGTACGAGGCGAAGCTGCTGGGCAAGAAATGGCACGCGCCGGTGGACTACAGCACGCTGGAGGCGACGACGTCGCGCACGCAGCGGCTGGACGTGGCCTCGATGGTCGGCAAGACGACGATGGTGGCGGCGGGGGCGGCGGTCGGGAAGCGCGGCCGCGGCGCGGGCTTCTACTGCGCCGACTGCGACCTCACCTTCAAGGATAACCTGCAGCTCGTCGAGCATCTGAACAGCAAGCAGCATCTGCTGGCGACGGGCCAGAGCGGGGAGGTCGCCGTCGCGACGGTGGAGGATGTGCGGCTGCGGCTGCGCATGCTGGCGCACCGGAGGCGGGAGCGCGAGGAGGAGGAGCGGCGCGCCTGGCAGCTGGATCTCGGGGAGCGGCTGAAGGAGCGCGAGGAGCTGAATGCCAAGGAGCGCGAGGAGAAGCGGAGGAAGCGGAACGAGAAGCGGCGCAAGGGGGGCGAGAATGGCGTCAAACAGGAGGAGGAGAGCTGGGAGGGTCGATTGGGGATCATTGCATAAACGGACTACGGAAAAGCACACAAGCGCGGGGAGGATGTCTGGTTCCTTGTTGGCCTTGTTGGCAAGGATAGGAGGATAGATTCGGCGTCTCATGCTGCTCAAAAGCTCAAGTATACCCACGGCGTTTCGGTTCTCAGGTTCTTACGGCTCTGTATCTTTCTATCAAATTGATTTCCTTTATCCAGGCGCATGTATAAAATCATTGACAATATCCATATCAGAAAACAACTCAAGCATAATCATGTACCGACCGCATTCCTATTTGCCAATATTGCTGAGAGATTATCCCAGAAGCAGAAAGAAAATAAAACCGATTATCCAATGCCCTTCGCCCGACCCAAAGACTCCTAACCGATGATGCCCATGAGCCCTCAATCCATACACTCGATACCTTCCAATACGCGCATCGCCCGAGCGCCTTCCTTCTCGAATTGGCTAACCAAGCGCTCGCATTCGCGTTTGAGTCTCTCCTCGCCATTCTTTGCATTCCACCTGATCCATTCTTCAACAGTCATCCTTTTCTCCTGGCTACTCAATTCGCCCTTGGTGCTGCTCAGGATATCGGAGAAATCGATGTTCTCCTTGTCGCTCGTGCCCGCCAGAATGATAGAATCGATATCCACTGGGGTCCAGGGGTGCGTACTGTTGAGGGACCCAGTGTTTGCAGCCCGCTTAGACGGCGATGGCGTACTGGCTGCAAATGGGATCCGAGCTGACTGCTGTTTGGAAGGGGAAGGGACAAGCAGTCGAGAAGTTGGGGGTTTCAGCGTCGGCTTCAAGGAGGGAGGCTGATTTTCCGCATCAGACGATTGCGGCGATAGCGAAGGAGTGGTCTTGGACGGCGAGGGCAATGGCGAGACCGTTTCTTGCTCTTGTTCGTCTTCATCGTCTGGATCGGCATTTCCTGAGATCGAGCGACCCCCTGAGTTCCGAGACTCGACAAGTGATGTCGCATACTGCTTCTCTTTAGGAATGTCGCTGTATCTCTCAACAGTCTTTGGAGGTACTCGGGATGATCTGCGTCTAGCGGTTTGCTGCACAGGTGTCTGCACCTGTGGTTCTTGCTCGCTCGGTCCCAACAGCGTCTGGCCATCCATGTCAAGAACCGTCTCTTCAATCTCGGAGGCAGCACGATCTTCTGGTACAGCATCGGTGGGCTCTTCTGCAGATTTCCTAGACTTCTTCTCCTTTTCGGTGGACTCCTTTCTTTTGAGCTTCCTCTTCCCATTCTTCTCCTCGACCTCTGCTTCGGGTTCCCTGCTTGGCGCCCTAGTCGTGATTTCCACAGACACAAACGACTCGTGCCTTTTTGTTTCAACTTGCTCGCGGCTGGGAGCAGTGGTCTCTGGAAGCTGGTCTTCTACTGATTCGCTCTGAGCCACTTCTTCTAGGGGTTCATTTTTGACAGTAGTCGAGTTTCTCGCGCTTTGTCGCTTGCTTGAACGCCTTGTTTGTCGTGGCTCTTGCACTGGTGGCTGAGGCTCTGGTGACTGGTGTGGCTCTGGTTCGTCAACCGGCTGAGGCTCAACCTCCACGCTGTGCTCTTTTGTGTCATTTAATGGCTCTGGGGCCTGTTCGATTTTCTTTTTGGACTTCGACTTTTTCGATGGCTTCGGTGCCGGCTCTTCGCTAGGCTCCTTGACGCTAGCCCTTTCTAGCTCCATATCATTCTCAACCACTGCTTCAGGCTCCGGATCCTGAGGCGCCTCGGGCGAAGCTGGAGCCTTAGTTGTAGATGAATCATCCGTGACATTTCGGCTTTTGGAAGCAGTCTTCTTCTTGCTCGTACCGCGGCTCTTCTTTGGTTTCGCTTCCTGAATTTCCTCCATGGGCACTTCCTCTGTTACTGCCTCGGGCTGTTCCTCGTGTTCCGGTTGCTGGGCACTAACGCGCGTTTTAGTCGCCCGTTTCTTGGATGGAGGTTCGGGTTTCTCGTCGGTCTCTGCATCCAGATTCGTATCATCCTTGGCTATATCCTCGCTTGTCCTCTTCTTGCCTCTGGTCCGTTTCGCTTTCGGAGGTTCTGGCTGAGTCTGATATGTACTGTCCACGTCCATCTGGCTGCCTGCCTCGACCTGCTCATCCTTCTTCTTGCTTCTGGACTTGGACTTGGTTGACTTCTTCGACGATTTCGATTTCGTGGTTGATTGCGACATAGTGCTTTGGTCCATTGGGTCGTCAACTTCCGGCATGGGTGCCTCTGAAACAGTGGATTGGGTCGAGAGACGGGCCGCCTTGGAGACGCGACCTTTCTTCGAGCGGGAATTCTTCCCTTTCTTTGTGGTAGGAGGCTGAGCGAAAACGAAGAAAGAGCAGTCTGAGGACCGTCGGTAATGCTCGTCGCTTTTAGGCCAAGGGGTCAGTCACGTTCAAGACAGAAAGAGCGACAGAGACATACAAGGGGTCATCTTTTGGCTCCCAGCCATCGAGCGACAATTTACAGTACGCACAAGTGGCCAGGTCGTTGCTCTCTTCGTTTGGGCAAAAATACCATCCGCCTTCAACCATCTATTCAACAGCAATGGTCAGAAATGTTGGTAAAGAGGTTGTGTTACAGTCGCCTTGCTCGGATTATCAATCTCACCTTGTCCGATTGACAAGTCCAGCCGCGCTTTCCATCGTGAGGCCATGCTTCGCCAAAGGTAGCCTGTCTCGCCTGTACAATGCGCTCGCTAGTCGGGTCTTCGATCTCGGCGGGGTTGGAGCTGTGCCGTTGAATGTCCATCATTACAGCCCATCCACAGTCCGGAGCATGTTTCAAATGTTCCGTGATCGGGTTGTCCTCTTCCTCCCATCCATCTAGTGCTCTGCGGCACAGGAAACATATCGTGTTGTCTGGATTCGTTTCGTAGGGGTGGTAGAAGAATCCTGCATGCGCAAGCTATGAGAAGCGCAAGTCAGCGATCGAGTTGCTGCAGGGGAACATTGTTGAAATACCTCCGCCGGTGAAGGCCTACTGTGAGGCCAAGCGATAGGCTCTGCGGGCGTGATTGATGACCTCCGTCCCCCAGGGTACAAGACCCGGTCGAAACTAGCGAGACGAGCGGCAAATGTCTCCATTTCCTGGGCCATGGCTGAGAATAATTATGACATTGAGACTGACCGTCATGCAGTGTTGTAAAAGTGCGACACTCAACAAGCGCCCTCTTGTTTACAGCCTTGTTTGGGTCGGCGGGAACGCGCCGCGGAGAAGCGCAGCCACGTGATTCTGATCCAAACTTGTGGCTGATGCTACCTACCTAGTAGTAATTGTGGCTAGTGACCGCCCGAAGTCGGGCAGTTTCCTCATCCGGAGCCCAAACTGTAGTGCCGCCGTGAGTGGAAAGGGCCGAGAACATCAGCCGAAGGGAAGCCCGGAGTACGTCAGACAGCCTGGAGCAGTCCCTCTCCTCCTTCTTCCCTCCCCCCCGTCCGTCCGTCCGCAATTTGTCGTCGGCTTTCGATTATTGAAGTGTTATTGTTGTTGCCCGCCGTATATACCTTTTCTTTCCAACTTGTCACTTGTCTTCCCCACTTCCTTATATCACCCTCTCACTCAGTTACCTGACCTCATCCTCCATTTCTTCACCCGTCTTCGACCATGATTTGAGATCTTAACTCTGATGCTCCTTGAATTGTGCGACACTTACAGCCATCGCTGTGCTCTTTCCACCCCTTGCCGGGAATCGCGACAATGCGCGCTACTGTAAGCACTGTCTGATTCACAAGCAACTGAGGAATCCAGCGTGGATGTCTAATCATCCGCCCCTAGACTCTCTTTCTGAACAACGGTTCAGGCTCCTACGTGCGCCTGCGCTCACTCAGCCCGGCAATTCCGGGTTCCCTCCGTCCCTTCTCCACTGATTCCCACCCAACACTTTCTCCCAGCAGTGTTCCATCGCCCTATAGCCGATGCGCCCCTCCGAGGAGTAATGGGCAATACACAAATACCACTGACAATGGGCTCTTGCTACCTTCGTCGGCTGCCTCGTTCTCTACCTCGTCACAGCGACACGACCCCGGCGACTGGGATATCAACCCTAATCTAGCCATTTCAGACTTTGCTGAGCTGCCGTCCAAAGATTTTGGTGTCAATCAACATATGATCATCAATCAGGAATTCAAGGAAGCTTTGCGGCAGATTCTGTGGCAGTTCCGGGCTCCTATTCGATATGCATTTGCCTACGGATCGGGCGTCTTTCAGCAGACAGGAAGCGCTCCTGGCTCCGGCAAGTGTCATCCGTCAGCCCCAGCAGCTATCAAGAACATGCAACAGGGCAATGGCAAGATGATCGATTTCATTTTTGGCGTATCATATTCACAACATTGGCACTCGTTGAATTTGGCTCAACACCGGGACCACTATTCCGGACTGGGCTCCTTGGGCTCGTATGCAGTGTCGCAGGTGCAAGACCGATTTGGAGCGGGTGTTTACTTCAACCCATTCGTTACGGTCAATGGCACTTTGATCAAGTACGGTGTGGTCAATATTGACACACTTTGCCGGGATCTGAGCCAGTGGGACACACTATACATCGCTGGCCGCTTACAGAAGCCTGTCAAGATTCTGCGCGACCACCCGAAGGTGCGACTAGCAAACCAAATGAACTTGCTGTCTGCGGTCCGGGTGGCTCTTCTGTTGTTGCCCGCCGAATTCACCGAGTTCCAATTGTACAGCACCATCGCAGGAATCAGCTATATGGGAGACCTTCGCATGTCACTGCCGGCAGAGGATCCTCGCAAGGTCAACAATATTGTTTCTTCGCAAATGGCCAACTTTAGACGGCTCTATGCCCCCCTCATTGAAAACCTCCCCAACGTGACGTTCAATGATCCCCGATGTACCCAGGAAGACTGGATTGACGACCCGGAGACGAATGTACGGCTCACTCAGGATATGGACCCTGTCAAGCGTGGCAACATGGTTCGCCGTCTCCCCGATGCCTTCCGCGAGAAGCTTTATTTCCAGTTCCAGTCACTATATCAGATCCCGCGAGCGGAATTCAACACAATGATGAAGGAGCATAACGACACTGATGAAAACTTGCGCCGGAGACAGGGCGGTCCGTTTGAGCAGCGCATTGCCGCTGATAAAGAGCTTCCGAAGAAAGTGCAGGCTGCAATCAGCAAGACGATCCGTTGGCCAAGTACCGTTCAGTCGATAAAGGGCCTGTTTACTTCCGGGTTCAGCCGGACCATGCATTACCTATGGGAGAAGATAGAAAAATACCGCAAGTCGGGCAAAAAGAGTGCCTCTTCGGACGCGCCCTCGGCGGACAGTTCCAAGAAAGAAGAGTAAAAAGTGGTTGTCACGAACTGCATCGCACTGTACTCATACCCCTTCATCTTGTTCAAAGCGCGGGTAACGTTTTATAGACACATCGGGGATATGGTTGAAGGCATAGTGAGGCGTTGATGAATTTACGTGGTATTGGTCGGGGCATGTGTATTTAGTATATCCTCCAGGGTCCCCAACACCGAAGAACAGGACTACTCAGGATGCTGTATAGAAAAAACAATGTGCAATAAAACATAAAGTTAGACTATACTCATTGTGTGCGTGCATTGGCACATTCTACATTAGGATCCCATTCCACTGACGCATGTGTCCAGCACTGGTTAGATTAGCAAGTCGATACAGGACAATCAAGGAGAAGCTGAATAGGAAAGACAAGGTACCTACTAAGTGGTCTGAATGAGTCATGAAACATCCGCACGGTCATGAATACTACGTAGCTAGCGAGTATAGTTGAAGGGAAGGAGTCATACATATAAAGGAAGGGTAACTATGCAGCGGTACCTGAAATCCACTTCCGACACCGGTTCCGACGATTGACTCCCCCGCCGCCACTCCCCCTCCCCGTCCGTCTTCTCCCTTCCATTCTGCAACGATTTCTGCTTTGTCGCAACAACCAATCCAACAAGATGACTTCACGAAACTCCCCTTTCGACCTTCAAAAATGCGCGCGCCCCAACATTCTTAAGCTACAGCCTTATCGCTGCGCCCGAGAGTGTGTTCTGCCCCCTCCCTCCCCCACAAGCAATCCTCGACCGGGACCGGACTAATGAGTCAGTGACTACAAGGACGACGGAACGAACATCTTGCTCGACGCCAACGAGAATGCCTACGGCCCGGGTCTCGCTTTGGACTCTGAAGGTGCCCTGCAGCACTCGACCGGATCCTCCAAGCCCGAAATCGATTTTCTGGGGTTGAACCGCTACCCCGACCCGTAAGTCTCCGCCGGAGTTGATTCCTTCTAAATCACAATTTGCCCCATTACCACGCATCAGTTGCAAGGTTCTCGGTCACTGAGAGAACACATGTGATAGTCACCAGATCGAACTGAAGCAGCTCTTCTGCAACCTCCGCAACACCCACCACCACACTCAGAAGACCCTCCGCCCGGAAAGCCTCTTCGTCGGCGTCGGATCCGACGAGGCGATCGATGCGCTCCTGCGCTGCTTCTGCGTACCAGGAAAGGATAAGATCCTGACGTGCCCCCCTACGTATGGCATGTACAGCGTCAGCGCACAGACCAATGATGTCGAGATCGTGCAAGTACCACTGGACGTGAACAACGACTTCCAGCTGCAGCCGGACAAGATCAACGAGGCCCTGTCGGCAGACCCCTCGATCAAGCTGGTGTACATCTGCTCCCCCGGCAACCCCACTGCCAACCTGATCAAGAAGTCGGACATCCAGAAGGTGCTGGAGCACCCGACGTGGAACGGGGTCGTGGTGGTGGACGAGGCGTACATCGACTTCGCGCCGGAGGGCTCGAGTCTGGCCGAATGGGTCAATGACTGGCCCAACCTGGCGGTCATGCAGACGCTGAGCAAGGCCTTCGGCCTGGCGGGCATCCGATTGGGCGTGTGCTTCACGAGCCCCCCGATCGCGACGCTGCTGAACAGCCTCAAGGCGCCCTACAACATCTCCAGCCCCACGAGTGCGCTTGCGACCGCGGCGCTCTCCCCGACCCACCAGGCTGTGATGCAGAAGTACCGCGACCTGATTGTCGCCCAGCGCGACCGCCTGGTCCAGGAGCTGCCGCAGATCCCCGGTATCGGGCGCTTCCGCGGCGGGAAGGAGTCCAACTTCCTTCTGGTGGAGATCCTGGACAAGCCGGCCAGCCAAGGTGGCAAGCCCAGCAATGTGATCGCTCAGGCGGCTTATGAAGCCATGGCCGAGAAGCGTGGTGTTGTGGTGCGCTTCCGGGGTAAGGAACTCGGATGTGAGGGCTGTCTCCGAATCACTGTGGGCACGGAAGAGGAAGTCACCCGATTCCTACGGGAGATTCGAACCGTTCTCGGTGGTCTCCACAAGGGGGAGAGCATTGACTCAGTGAGAGAGCAAGTGAGCCAGAACTGATGAAATCGGGGAAGGGGAAGGGGGGGGGGGATTCTTGGCGGTATCCTCGGGAAATCTAGATTCTTTGGGTTGTTGTAATATCGGGCCATTTGCCTGGAGCCTAATCTAACTGACCTAGTCAAAGACAGACAGACCATGCATAGATAGAAATGAGATTTCCACGCAGCGTAAGGCAAACCCTGGCTCCTCCTCTACCTTAGCGTAACGTATGCTGTCGGTAGTTCCTTGAAACCTGGACCTTACCCCTGACCAGCTTGCAGACCACGTATACGTATACGAACAGGGGCGATTGGAGATGAACGGTAGGAACCGCGTTTATGCTGTGGCTCAATACTTATCTGTTCCTGGCTCGCAAACAAAACCCATGGCGCATATTATTACTCCGGAGATTATAGAACGAATCACACCGAAGTGCTGTATCTATACTTTTTCTTCCTCGAGTTTCCAGGATAGTAGATAGTTACGGATAGTGCTCATATGATTGATTGCTGGAAGGCACCACCTCGGGTGGCCACGGTATCGAGGCAACCGACCAGGATTCATTTCGAATAGAGGACGCCTGACTCGCGCATGGAGACTTGGCTATCGGGTAATTAGGGGGGAGGGGGAAAGTCGTGTTCGCTCCGTTTACTTTCCCAAGGAAGGTTTGGATAGTAAAGGTAGGTGAGTGTTTCTTGTATGTTGTCCGTAGTCCGTAAAATGAGAAGGTGATGATGTGATGTGATTGATATCCTCGGGGATCGCCCTTTCCCTCGTGTCGGTAGATCGGCTTATCTCCACTCACTCACTCACCCACCTCGAGGTTGAGTGATACGAGTACAGTACAATGACTTTATCGCATGGTTAACACAGGCGGGCAATTGAATTGCTTGCATACGAAACCTAATCTGGTGCACCTTTACCTGCACGTGTGATTATTCTTGTTGAATGCTCTTTCGAAAGCCCATCTTCTCTCCTTTTGTTTTCCTCCACCAGCTCGAGCTGGAACTGCTGGAAGCTCCAGCTCCAGCTCACATGCAGCAAACGAAGAAAGAAAAGCAAAACCAAACCAAACCCCCCGGTGGCAAATGGACCAAATGGGCATATCACAAGCTTGCAAACCCCATCTGCTGCTGGGCTTCGTATCCGACCAGCCTGTCATATCCCAACCCATTGGCTGACTTAAACGCCATGGTGTAATCCTGGCTCTATCGCTCCTCCCTGGCTGGTCCATTGCCTCGACTCCTTCTGGTCCAAATTTCCCCGACTTCCGTCAAATCCAGCCTTGACCAAGATAAGGCCCAGGCGTCTTTCTTGCCCGTCTTGCCCCCCTAAATTTCCGTCGGCCAGCGTTATCTCCTCACCGGCCAGCGAAGTTTATCGGAACGCCTTGACCCCAACAGTCAGATCCTGGCTCGCCATGAGTCCCACTGAGAATATAACATGGTTCACGAGCCGGGCTGACCATCACGATGGTGACAGCTACCTCTTGTTAACACACCCCTGCTTGCTCTCGCGCGACTCGGTCGCAACCGGAATCTCGCCTAGAAGATCCTCCAAACAGACTCTCGGTTGACTGCGGACATTGATATAATAACTTCGACGTCACAACGGCGGTGAATCCGGATGAGTTTCGCGCTTTCCTTCACTGTTGACAAGTTGACAACCTCTACTCCTCTCTCGTCGCCTGTGAGAAAGTAGTGTCATGTTCAACCTCTTCCGGGATCTTACTCAAAGGGGTATCTCCCGCCATCTTCCTTTCTTAGCAGTTACGCAGACAATCATCACACGGTTAACGTCTTCTCCACCCACCGAGACCCTCTGTTGGGAACTCCGACTGGTATTATTCTCCGGGGCTCCTCTTCTTGGCCCCGGCTCCCCCACACGTACCCCAGTTCGAGGGCACGTGCTCATCGATGACATTTCCCCCGATTTGAGACATTCGAATGCGAAGCGAAGTATCATTATAGTATACAATAGTCCACCTCCAAGCGTGCGAAGCACGCCATCACCTACAGATCGAGATCGCCCTCCCATAGCGTCCACTGGCCCCTCTTCGGAGGTGGCTCGGCGGCCATGAGTATACAATGGATGCTGGATTCTCGTGGGCTTTTCGACAGCACGCCCCCAAATCCTCGAACTAAGCTGGACAACAACTCCACCCTTCTTGTTAGCTGGTGGGCGACTGGGTTTTCTCTTGCAATCATCGTCACTCGAGTATGCGGACGCTACGTCCGGACCGAGCGTTTCTTTATGGAAGACAAGGTTATGCTAGCTGGCGTGATTCCGCTACTGATCCGCATGGCCTGCGTGCATGTCATTTTGATATGGGGTACAAATAACACGAAGACTGCCGGACTGTCTACCGAGAACATCGATCATAGGGTTGTTGGCAGCAAGCTGGTATTGGTCGCTCGGATCTTCTATGCTGTCTTGTGAGCGATCAAATCTCTCTGCTGATTTCGTGACTTGACACATGCGCTAACACAGTCATATGGGAGCAGTATCTGGACGGCAAAATTTACCGTATGCGAGTTTTTGAAACGTGTCTCGGGTATGATCTGGCGACGGTCCCTCGATATTTTCCGCAAATCCCTCTACTATTTCTTGGCCTCGACCCTGCTCGCGGTCGTCATTGCTACTCTCGCGGAGTGCACTCCGTTTGACCATTACTGGCAAGTCGTGCCGGATCCAGGGCCGAAGTGCCGTCTTGGATATGCGAACCTGATCGTGATGGGGACCTGCGACGTGATCACAGATCTGCTGTTGGTGGCATTTCCGATCCCGTTTATCATGATGACTCACATGCCCTTGAAGCGCAAAGCCTCTCTTGTTATTTTGTTTGCCCTGTCTCTGATTCTCGTGGCAATCACCCTCTACCGGGTACCGTCCGTCATCTGGCAAGATGGAGAGCAACAGTACCGATCGCTTCTGGCATCGCTAGAGATACTGGTCGCCACGGCAGTGTCCAATGCTGTCGTGATCGGCTCCTTCGTGCGAGACAAGGGCGTCAAAAAGAACAAATTCAAAAAGGCCCTGGCATCCGCTTCGGTCAATGAGAATATGGACTATAGCTCCTTTCGCCGCCAAACCATCACCCACCATCAATGGGGCAGCGATTCAGACCTGGCTGCAGGCCTGGGAATCCGTCTGAAGCCGGAACTATGCTCTTCAGACAGGGATTTGCCCCGTCCTGCGCCGGTCGCTGCCCCTTATCACAGCCTCACAGGCCGTCCCGCCGGCCTATTGAACCCGAGCTGGTCTTTCCCTCAGCGACCGGGGGGCATGGACGATGACCACACGTCTACTACAGGCAGTCTCGACATCAAAGTCAGCCCCCACGAATATATAGAGACCAACATCTCTCCTCCACACAGGATGCCCCGAGAGGTTTCATCCCCCACCCAACTCTCTATCTTCGATGTAGGCGGCCTGCTCAACGCGCCTACTCCCACAACCGCGCATCCGTCCCACTACCCCGATCATCAACCGCGCCATTCCAGTGGCAGTAGCAAATCCGCTATTTACGACTTCGGAGCTACCGTCTCTACCTCCGGCTCGCCGGACTTGAACCCAGATCCTAATGCGACCTACCATCACCACGCACTCCCATCATCTCCCGTAGCCCCGAATTCTTCTTCCCGCCCTGGCGGCCTTCGCCGTAGCTCTCTTGCGTCGAACCGTCGCAGGGGATCGAGCGTTCACTTCAGCGATTCGCCGGAGTCGCCCGTGCCGTCCTATCGCTCCCAGCCCGAAGTCTCGACCCCGATCCCCGAGGGCGATGATGTCGAGCTCCAGGATGTGGGAGGATTGCTGTCGCGGCGGTATGATCGATGATCAGCGTAATGTGCCTGTATCATTATTCGTTTCGTGTCTTTGGTTTGAGCTTAGCGTGTTTCACTGGAACTGGAGTGGGATTGGCGGGTTTTGGTTGGGCTATGGAGTTCGGCTTGATTTTATGAGATATACCATATAGTATAGTAATTTTGGTTAGCATCCTATGCATTGATTGCAAAACTCACTTGAAGTCTTATTTCTTGTGTGTGTGTGCAAAGCTTCTGAATCAATATGTAGGGTAGTGCAAAGGTGATGAAATCAATATGTAGAGTAATATTCAGGTGAAGCCACCCAACAGCCAGAACATAATCACCAAATTATAGAGCCATGAGTAAGAAAACACATCGAGTTTGGTTAGAGAATAACTTTTTCGCCCTTACGCCATGCTGCCCGATGCCTGTAATTAGACAATATTTTTCATGTTTTCTTTGCCTCCCGCTCTGCCCTTGGACCCAGTACCATGATGCATCATGATAACTGGCCGGGATATCTCCGTTGATAATCCCACCACACCCCATCTCCCCTCCGCTCCCATCTTATACAGAAAAAAAAATACCGCACTAGAGTACCCACCGATAACTCGCGTAGCGGCCGGCCGTCTCACTCTTCCGAATAATCTTGACGACCTGCCCCTTCCGCAGACCCAGGTACCGCGCGACGGGGTCGGAATGCTGCATGCGGGGCAGCTGGGACTCCTTGAGGCGGTACCGCTCCAGCAGCCGGGCCTTTTCGTCCGGGCTGAGCAGCACATGCTTGGGCACCAGCTCGTGCCGGGTGATGTTGACCAGCAGATCCTGCTCCTGGAAGTGCTCGCAGATGCGGCCGGGAACGCCGCTCAGCAGGCGCACGGCCGAGGGGGAGATGGGCGTCTGCGTGATGAACACCCCCGTGTGGAAGTTGTTCTCGTCCACGAAGTGGTTGAAGGCCCGGACCTGCTTCGTGCCCACGCCCGTCGAGTCCGGGCAGAATTCCACGTAGATCGTGCCGCAGTCGGGTTGCGGGGTCGGGTTGGATTTGCTGGGCAGCGGCGTGTATTTGGTTTGCATGGCTTCCGTGGGGCGGGCGCTGATTTTCATTTTGTTGCGGCTGGTGATTTGGGGATTAGCTTTTTGGAAGAGAGGGGGTTGGAGGGAGGGAGGCTGGCGTACTCGGGATAGCCTAGAGGGTCGGAATATTTTCGTTTGAAGTCCGCGAGCGGGATTTGCACTTCGTCTTCGGTGACTTCGTAGCCCTGTGTTCCCCCCAAGATGCATATTAGTATGAGAGGTTGCGGGAGATATATCCTGAGCTCCAGGGTGCAGAGCTGCGTACCCGATCCAAAAGCATCTCAAACACTGTTCGCCATGTGCGCCACAGTCTGGTCATCTCGCGGTCGGCGTCCACGGACCCGGTCGAGTAGTCCTCATCCATGTTGATGGGTTGGGGAAACACGTCGCGCGTGTGTAAGGTGCAGGATAATTGAGGTCAGAGAGAGATTAAATAGACACCGCAGCGGTGATATGCAAGTAAAGGTGGAGGTGAAAGAACGCTGGCGGGCAAAAAAGTGGCAGGTCAAAGGCGGATGCGAGAGAGTAAAATGAAGGCCGGTTTCTCGAAAAATCGGCGGCCCAGCGCTAAAGGCGCCAAACGGGGGGGAACTTAAGCGCCGCCCGCCGCCCGCCCAGACAAGACAAAAGTCACCGGCCAAAAGAAAGAGGGCCAGGCCGAGAAAAAGAGCACGAAGTTCCAGTTGTTGACTGACTGACTGACTGGAACTAACTACCGTACTGACACTACTGACTTGACTCCCTTTCCTTTCTCTTTCTCTCTTTCTTCCTCCCCCCCCCCTCCCTCTCCTTCTCTCTCAACCCCCACTCCTCCTCTCCTTTGGGTTGATTTTCTCCCAATTGACTGATTGATTTTATTTTAAATCAATTCTTGCCTGTCAATTGCTCTTCTCCCCCACCTCATCTCAATCATGTCCGCCGACGCCAAGTCCGCTCCTGCCACGGAGCAGAAGGTGAAGCCCACCAAGCCCAATGAGGAGACTTTCAAGGCCGATTTGGCCCAGGCCGAGAAGGAGCACGCCGCTGTTCAGGAGAAGCTGGTATGTTTTCCCCTTGTCTATGACTTGAATTGGCGTTTACCATGCCTCTCCGCATTGTTTTGTTTACCGGGATTCTGCGTTGCCGCACCGTGGCCTCTTTTTCCTTCCTCCGGGTTCTATCGCCTTCTTCCTGTACTACGGTTCTTACTTGACCGCTATACACCCAATTGCATGGCCCCGGTCATGACCTGCTGGCAATTGAGCTAACCCCCCACTCAAGAATGAAATCAAGGCCAAGATCGAGACCGCCAAGCCCAACAACCAGGACTCGCCCACCGCGAAGAGACAGCAGGAACTCCGCGCCGAGCTGTCCTCGATCCGCCAGAAGCAGTCGGGCTTCAAGGCCGGCCGCTCCAGCACCCAGGAGAAGATCAACGCCCTGGACGCCACGCTCAAGGCCCGCATCTCGGAACAGAACAACTCGCGCGGTCGCATGTCGTTCAAGAATGTCGAGGAGCTGGACAAAGAAATCGCCCGCCTCGAGAAGCAGGTCGACTCCGGCACGCTGCGCCTGGTCGACGAGCGCAAGATCCTTTCCGACGTCTCTAACCTGCGCAAGCAGCGCAAGAACTTCGCCGGCCTCGAGGAGGCCCAGAAGGCCATCACCGACCTGAAGAACCAGATCGCCGCCCTCAAGAAGAGCCTCGACAACCCCGAGGCCAAGGCCCTCAGCGACAAGTACAACGAGATCCAGAAGGAGCTCGACGCCATCAAGGCCGAGCAGGACAGCGTCTTCAAGAATCTGAACGCCCTGCGCGACGAGCGCACCAAGCTGCACGCCGAGCAGCAGAAGAAGTGGACCGCCATCCGCGAGATCAAGGACAACTACTACAAGGCCCGCAAGGCCTACAAGGAGTACGAGGATGAGGCCTGGCGCGTCCGCCGCGAGAAGCAGAAGGCCCAGCGCGAGGCCTTCGAGCGCGAGAAGCGCAAGAAGGTCGCCGACAAGAAGCTGGAGGAGGCCTCCCGCCCCGCCTACACCGATGAGATCCTGATCGGCCAGGGTCTGATCCGCCACTTCAACCCCGCCTACGACTTCGCCGCGCTGGGTCTGGACGACAAGAAGGACGAGGGCTCCAACTTCCGCGCCGAGATCGGCCGCACGGTCGATGACTCCGGCCTGAAGGGCATGAAGGTCCTGAAGAAGGATGACGGCGAGGACTACTTCGTCGGCACTGGTGGCAAGAAGGGTAAGAAGGGCAAGAAGGGCGCCAACGGTAGCCCCGCCGCCGCTGCCCCGGCCGAGACCAAGTTCAACCTGAACGTGGGTGTCATTGAGGACTTCGCCAAGGTCAAGATCGACCCTCCCATGAACCAGGCGGATGTTCCTGCCGTGATTGAGAAGCTCGCGGCCAAGATCACCGAGTGGAAGAAGAACCAGGCCTCGAAGACCGAGGAGGTGAGTTTTTTCTGCGTTTGCTTGCCGTGGTCACTACTAACTGTATGCGTAGAACATCAAGAAGGCCCAGGAGGAAATTGCCCGCCTGGAGGCCGAGGAGACCGCCGCTGCCAACGACGACCGGGCGACCGACGGCGCCAAGAAGGTGGCCATCAAGAACAGCGGTGTCAACGGCAAGGTCTCTGCGGATGCTGAGCTCAAGCAGGAGAAGGACGCTGTCGCCGACGTGACGGAAGAGCTCGAGAAGGCCACCGTCGAGGACCAGGCCTAAATGGGCCGCTCCGACGCATAGACCATTGCATTGCATGCACTTGCACTTGCATTTTGACCGTACCAGCGACCGCGCATGGTTAGAACCCAGAAGCTGACTATATATTCGTGTGGCTTTGGTTCTTTTCTTTGCATCTACCCTTATAACTTTCCTGTTATCTCTTTGTTGCCTCCTAACATCCTCCTATTATCCTCTCTCCACTTCGACCTGCTCCTCTGATGAGAAGAAGCCAATATACACGGGTATTGGTGACCCCCTTTTAAAACCGTGCGTTTGTATGTTGGGACCGGCTTTGGGGCTGGTCCATTTCCTTCTTGTGTAATCAATTTCATCTATTTCCTTTTTTCTTGTCATACCTTTTTTTCTGCTGAATCCGTGGACGAACCTGGCGAAAACGATAGCGTTTAGCGAATCTAATTGCAGCGTGAAGTGGTTTTGGTGAATGGATGCTGTAGGGAAGAGATAGTGACTGGGCGTGCCAACGTTCGTATGCTCCTGCGTAAGTGTAGAGTCAGATGGTTTCCAAGTCTCAAGAGGTTAGGGATGTTTTAGTGGATGGCATGCCCCAGATTTGCGATAAGATAAGAGGGGGTGTCCGGGTGTCATGAACCCATCCGCCGCGTCACTCTCGGGAGACCTGCAGACCCGTCAAGATCAGCAGTATGCCAGTAATAATGCATGGATGTTCCGACAGAAACAGCTGAAGATGCGACGTAGGGAACCACAACCACAATAGAATGAGCTGTCAATGGATCCCCCCCCTAAACTAACTATAAATAACACCGCCACAATTCTCCACGACTACTGCTGCGCCATCGCCATCCTTCCCAAGACCCAAGAAAGCACGCCGAGGAATTACGTGGAGATCCGCCAAATCGGTTGCCTAATCCGGGCTCCCGCCAAGGGTGAGTGAGTGAGTGAGTGCCATGGGATTTTTGACTTCTCCTCTTCCTTCTCGCTCTCGCTCTCGCTCTCGCACTCTCCTTCACAATCCACAATTCACAGCCTTGCTCTTCGCATTTCTTCCTTCGTGGACTGCTACCGCCTACTCTTCTATCCGATAGAAACCACAAAGATGTCCTACAACAAACCGGTACATTCCCCAGTCCCCCATCCTTATCCTGACCCCATCCATACCACACCGCACTAACAGATACTAAAAAAGGACAACCCACCCCCCTCCTACCCCTCCCCCGTCCACGACGCAGGACCCTACCACTACCAACAGCAGCAACAAGGCTACCCACCCCAAGGCGGCGCCTCCCAGGACTATTATAATCAAGGCGGCGGCGGCGGCTACCCCCCGCCGCAAGGCTACGGCCCCCCGCAAGGCGGCGCTGGTGGCTACTACCCCCCTCCCCAGGGCTATCCGGGCTCGCCGCCCCCGCAGCAGCAGCCGATGTACTATCCGCAACAGCAACCGCCGCCGCAGCAGGGGTACTATGCCGGAGGGGATCGGGGCGGGGGCTCGTCGGGTGGGGGCATGTGTGCGGGCATTATGGCGGCGTTGGCTTGTTGTTGTTGCTTGGATATTTTGTTCTAGGGTTGGTTGCTGCTGGTGTATCATGTTTGGTTTTGAGGGGGTGGGTTGTTGGTGGCTGAGTGAGTGATGGTGGTTGGTGGTTGGTGGATGGATGGATGCCTTTATACCAACTTCGGTTATAGGGGGATGTATGGATGGGTTGAATGACTGATTGATGGGTGGATGATGGATGGAATGCCTTTATACCAACTTCGGTGATATAGGATGGGGGAGTTGGGCGTTGCGTTTCTGCGTGAATGACTGGTTTTGAGTATTGGGCTGCTTCTTGGGTTCTAGGCCATTGGTGTTGTGTTTCGCTTTGTTTATTGTTGTTGTTGTCTATGCTCAGGGCTGAGATGGGAATGCTATACCATACTATACTCTATTGATATGCGCCTTATTGATATTTGATATTCAAATACACCGGGCATCATCAACCGTCATCATTAATCATTAGACCTAATCTCAGTAAAACTCTCCATGCAAATGCAGCATTAGATCATTACTCATGCTTTCCATCCATTGCAAAGCACCCCAACACGACTCACGAATCACAGTAAAACACAAGAAAATAACTCAAGGGTATCAAAAACACCGTCCCATCCCATCCCTCATTCCCCCCAAATCCTACGACCTCAAACTCCCATCAACCGACAACCCCTCCACCGCATCCAGATCCACCGCCCGATAGCCCCCCTTCCCGGGCCTCCGCGGCTTCCTCGGGCCCTCCACACTCGAATGCTCCTCCATCACCGTCACCACATCCGACCGCTCACTGGACACCACACTCGCCTCCACCATCTCCGGCGGGTGCTGGCGATTCCGCTGATGATGTTTGGAATGCGGCGGGTGGAGCCGTCCGTGCGGGGGCAGGTACCCTTCCTCGACGATTTCCTCGCGTCGGCGAGTGCGACCCCCGCCCCCGGGCCGTCGGCTCCGTCGCGACCGGTGCGAGCGCGGCGACCGCGTCGAGCTGAGGTTCTCTTCCACGATGATCTCGGAGTGCGACGAGGGCGAGGACGTCGTGCTGCCGGAGAGGATCGTCCCGTCTCCGTTGGTGGTGGAGGGGGAGAATTTGCGGCCGGAGGTCAGGGCCAGATAGATTAGGTACAGGAGGAGGAGGAAGCCGAGGACGCTGCCTAGGACGATGCCCACGATTGTGCCGGCCGGTAGGTTGGGGGTGTAGCTGTAGGTCGAGGGGAGGGTGGTGAATTCGCGGGGGTTGCGCGCGTGGTTTTGTTGGATGGTTTGGGGGGGTATTCGGGGGGAGAGATGGGTGGGTGGCATTTTTGGGGGTGGTTGTTGTTGTTGTTGTTTGGACGGTGGTGGTGGTGGTTGGCAGTGCGGACGGAGTAAATAGTGTAGTGAGTGAGTATGCGATGGTCGTGGTCGTGGTTATGGACGTGGAGAGGTCATAGTCTTGTGGGTTCAACCGTGCAACAAAGGGAGAAGTGAATGCCTGGGTTGAGGTCTGAATCTGAGATAAGGATGAAGAAGAGGAAAAGTAGAAGCGGAGATGACGAAGGTCAGTCAGGCAGTACGAGTCAATAAATGGGTGGCTGGGATGGATGAAGATGCGATGGATCAATCAATGGAGTGGAGCTAAAACTGACGACCCGCCGGGCCTTCCCCGCTGGGTGGAGTCAGTCTCGCTTACCCATAACTACGTAGTGTAACTATAGTGTAACTATAGTGTAACTATACTAAAGAACTACTTCACTACTTCAGTCATGTCAATCAACTCCAGATATCGAGGTAAAATTCACAGCACACTAGGATTCCGTCTAATTTATTCTACAGCAGGGTTTGAGTATATCTCCGATACCGTAACGTGATGTACAGTACAGTCAGTACTATACCCCCCCGACCTGTAGCTCATTACCCAGCTAGGTAATTGGTTCTCTTACACCCTTGGTATGGAGTATTGCTCACTGTCCATAGTGTTATATCTATTCCAGCTGTGATCATGGGCTGATGGAATGAAAGATTCTTTCACCACACCGTTCTCATTCATCCTTTGCTACGCCCGTCCAATTGTGAATCCTGCGGAGCTTCTTCATACGACGGGCAACCACTGCCAATCTGCAGTTATACCAAAACACTTTCTAGAAAGCTTCTCTGCTATCAACAAAGACAGCACAAGCCTCCAGTGACTCTTAGCACTGGGCTGGAGAGCACGCGCATAGCATGAAGAGCAGCCAGCATCTCACTGGGTCCAACCAGCTGCGTTTGCTACCGCCGCAACGCCAATGACGCAACGGCCTATGCTCCAGCCTATGCTGTAGCCCATGCCACCCTGCCCCTTAGGACAGACCTCGAGTATAGCTTATACAGCTCATAGTAGGGTGTCGCAAACAGAACGAGGTCGCCTCGGTCGATTCATCAACGCGTGAATTGCCATTGGAAAGTAGTCTCCGAAATGATGTCCGATGCGCAACCGAGAGATAGCCATTAGCTCACACGGCGTCAACCTCAACTGCTCCTAATACCGCTCAGCCAGTCAGTAGACAAGACGCAAGCAGGCGGAGGTGGAACCTGGGACTTGAGAAGACAATGAGTCTGGAAAGAGGATGATTCATCCCAATCCAGGAGATCGTCGTTAAAATGTCCGTAGCGAAGAATGGCCCAGCGTCCATGCGCATTTCCTGTCCCAGTCATCCGGGATTCTGATTGGAACAGATCAAGGGCCCTCTCCTATGTAGTCCAGCAGGAACCGGAGGACTTGGAGGTGGTGAAAGGTCCGCCCAAAGCGGTCGTCGGCCCACTTCCCTCAATCTGGCCCAAAGCATCAAGCTCCAGCTGAAAGGAAGTCTTCCTTACCTTCCACCCTCCCACTTTCCTCCCTCCTCCATCCATCCACTACACCTGTCAAAACAACCTTAGTCCTGCTCAAGCACATACGAGAGTAATCTCTCAAGTAGTACTAACCTCCAGCACCACAAAACTTCCATCCCCATCCCCAACTAACCATCCATCTCACCTCAAGCTGATCCACCATGGCCAACGCACCCACTCACCCAGGTATGCGCGAGAGCGGAAGCCCGCTCGCAATGCTTCTCTCCAAGCCGGAATTTACTGCTGAGGAGTCGTCGCTGTTTGATGAGGTCTTCCCCGGGAACTGGGCAGATATTGGTATCGAATACTTCCGCAATTGCGAGCTGTGTTTTGCCTACCTTCCGCCAACGGACCCTAGCAGGCAGATCTACCGCTGTTCAAGGCCCGAATGTCGGGCTCTCTATCACCACGAGTGTCTCGAGGAGGTGCTTACTGGATTGTGGGAGCAGGGTAGTCTGCTCATGCCGATGGAATGTCTCCGCTGCGGCACCGGGTGGGATCTCGACCCGGACTTTGAGGAGTCGGAGCGTCGCCTCAAAATCTGGCGCCTTGATAAGTTACGGCAGAAGAATATACAGGAGCTTCAGCGGCTTCGTCAGCAGCAGCTGGAGCAGCAGGCGGCGCGGAATCATCCTCAGGTGCAGCAGCAGGCACAGCAGCGGCACTTTACGCCTCAGCTCCAGCAGCAGCAACAGCAGCTACAGGCGACGGTGCATTCTCTGCAACCTCAGCCTCCTCAAGATCAGCAGCCCGAGCAGCAGATACGGGTGCTTCCTCGGCAGTGTCGGACTCCTCAACCACGGCAGGAGGAGCAGCACTGTCAGCCTCCGCCCCAGCAGCAGATGCAGGTGTCTCCTCAGCAGCTTCAGCCTCCGCGGCAGCAGAAGATACAGATACATCCTCTGCAGGGTCGGCCTTCTCAGCACCAGAAGCAGAGCCAGCAGCAGGTACAGGTGCATTCTCAGCAGCTTCGGACTCCTCAGCACCAGGGGCAGATCCAGCAGCAACAACAGGTATATCCTCTGCGGTGTCAGCCTTCTCAGCACCAGCAGCAACCTCAGCGCCTACACCTGCGCCAGCGGCAGATGCAACGTCAAAACCAGCAGCAGCAGGTACAGATGCATCCTCAGCAGTATTCTCAGGCACAGCAGAACCATCAGCAGTTCTACCAGCAGCAGATGCAATCTCATCATCAGCTACAGACACAGCGTCAGCTGTATCAAGCTCAAATCCAGCAGCAAAAACAGCTACATTCTCAGCGGTATTCCCAAGCACAGCAGAATCATCAGCAGTTTTACCAGCAGCAGATACAATCTCATCATCAGCTACAGACACAGCGTCAACTGTATCAAGCTCAACTCCAGCAGCAAAAACTGCTACATTCTCAGCGGTATTCTCAGGCACAACAGAATCACCAGCAGCAACCTCAGCACCTACGCCAGTACCAGAACCTGCAGCAGATGCAACCTCAGCATCAGTCACAGACCCAGCGTCAGCTACATCAAGCTCAGTACCAGCGACTGCAGATGCAACATCATTCTCTGATGCTGCGACAACATCAGCAGCCGGCGCAACATCCAATTCGGATGCAACAGCAGGCTCAGATACACTATAATCCACAAATACAGCAGCAGCAGGTACAATATTATCCTCAGATGCTGCGACAGCATCAGCAGCCGGCGCAGCATTCAATCCGGATGCAACAGCAGCTTCAAATACATCAGCCTCTACAAAAACAGCAACAGCAGTATCCCCAGCAGGCGCAGCAGCGGCTTCAGATACAGCAGCCTCAGCTACAGATACAACATCATCCTCAGCTGCAACACCAACTCCCCCGTGGCCCCGAGCCCCACCGCGCTGCATCGAAAAAGGCGCGATCAGCGAAGAAACCCCGTAGGAACAGGCCTGATCTTCCGCGTGGTCAAACAAGAATCCCAATGAGCTTCACTGTAATAGGAAACCGCTTCCATTGCACTCTTATAGAAGACGGGGTGCCTTGTCGTCGGCGTTACGTGGAAATTGCGAGTTTGCGGCGGCATTACCACTTGACGCATGATAATGGTTTTACGTGCCCTCACTGTCCCGATGTGTGCTCCACCGACGAAAGCCTATCTAGACATCTCGCGGTAGTGCATGGGGTGACTGCGAGGGCTCCTGTACCTGGGGAGACTCCTGTGCATGTGGCGGCTCCTCATGCCACGGCTCCTCTGCGTAGGATAGCACCTAAGCAGAGGAAGTAAAGGACAGTCCCCCGGGACTGGAGCTGAAACCAGAGACATGATGGTTTCGCGTAGATTTCACGTAGTTATGCTCTTTCTCATCTTATTCGCTGATCGAGATGCTCGACCTAGTCTACACCGTAGTTGGCAGGATAATATGATCTAATCTTTGAGTAGCTTTAGGCTACTTTTAACTCTACTGCGATGAGTTTTGAACGTAGAAGTAGTCATCAATTCAAATTACTGAAGATCAATTCTGCCTTAGATGTTCTTCGCTCTATTCTTACACTTTCCCCTGTCAGCCATTCCAACTGCACCCACGAAACCTGTAGAACCTGCAGTGACCGTGTCATCGCATATTAGCCCCGGCGACCTTCAAGCAGAAGCAGCAAGATCCAAATAATCCTCGACCCCATCAAAGCTGCCCCAGAGTGAACTCCAACAGACTCCCCGACGCCTTGACCGTGAACTTGGCGAAATCATCCTTGAACACAACATGCAGCAGATTCTCACAGCTCCCTGCTCAAAAGATTAGCCCACTTCCCCTTCCCCACAACCACTAAACTCCCCGTAGGAATGCACATACCTTGCAATCCCGCCTGATCCCCCGCACAAAGCAGCACCACCCAATGCCGCACCTTACCCCGCGCCACCAGATCCGCACACTCGCGGGTGATTGCGCGCAGATCGAAGCTCGCCCCGTACCCGTGCAGCAGCTCGATGCGCCAGCCCACCGCGGGCACCTCGACCGCCGTGCGCGGGCTCGCGGTGCGCGTCCAGTCGCGCGTGACCGCCCCGCCGAAGATGTTGTGGCTCCAGCAGCTCTGGTAGAACTCGTCCTGGAACAGATCGGCCCGGGCCCGGACGCGACCCGCGGGACCCCGCCGGCTGGCGAAGGTGTTCTGCAAAGACTCCTGGGGCAGGGACTGTAGAACGCGGATGCAGAATTCCCGGATCTCCGGGCCGCCGCCCACGCCTTGGAAGCTGGGTTCGGAGACGCCGCTGTGTTCGTATTCGAGGAAGCTATTTGGGTTCGGGTTAGTAGTGGTGGGTTGGGTGGAGTGGGGAGGGGCAGGCTGGCTCACCGGGCATGGAGATTGGAGGGGAGAACGCAGAAGACCTTGTTGGCGAAGTCTAGGAAGGTATACAGGAAGCCGTATTTGACGCAGAGCTTCAGGTCTGGGTCCTTGTGGTTGAAGCGGATGTTGCCCTGGCGGAGGACTCGGAGCAGGATGTCGATCATGGGTTGGGTTAGGATCCCGTTGGTCATGTACTTCGATGGCAGACTCTTCCCGGCGGGCTGGTATCGGATAAATTCGAGGGCGTCGTTGCTGCTCAGGAACTCGCGGAATTCATCGGTTGGGGGCGACAACATATCGTTCCTGATGTATTGTTGGAAGTCTCTTCCTGCGTACTGTTGAGGGCTAAGTTAGAAAGCGGCGAGAACTAACGGCAGGTTCAACTGGGGCTTTGACTCACCTGGCGTATATATGCCAGCAGGGCATCGACCATTCCAGGATGTCCGTCTGTCAGTGCCATCAAACACTCCCGACCATTCTGGGACAGTTCAGGGCAGCCGGTCGTAGCACTGTACCTCTTGACCACATCCTGTAGCTCGGATTGGGTGTAGAAGACAGAATACATGGAGCTCGGCCAGTAGGGCAGGAGAGTGACTGTGCGCGATGGTTTGAAGACAGGTTGAGTTCTGCTGAAGCGCGCCTCGAGGGACCCAGTCCTCAAAGACTCGTGCGCAAAGAACAAACAGAAACGAGGGCCATGCTGCTTGCCGAATCGGGCATCGACAATCTCGGACCAGAAGTCGAAATCACCGCAGGTCTCGTGTGCGTCATCCAAGATGAACACCAGTCCGCTGTTGTGATCACTCTGAAGATCGCCGTGCACTTCGTCCTGACTCAGGCCCTGCGCATAGGCTTCCTGGATCAGGTAATTCAATGAGCTACAATTCCTTTTCCAACCTTTCACGAAGATGACCTTGCGCGTCTGGCGAAGGAAGTCCCTCAGCAAAAGAGCAAGGGTTGTCTTGCCGGACACGGGTGAGCCTTGTACATAGACGACATGTTTTGTGTCGAGCTCTTGTGCTATCCCAAGCAACGTGTCAAATCGTGGACAGATCTCAGGTCCTTTGTGTATGTCCAGCTGTGGTGATGGTGCAAGCATGGCGGCTTGTTTCTTGGCTGGATCTATGGAAGACACTTAACAGACAAATCTGTGGACGGTTTTCTGAGTAACTTACTTTCAGTATATTCCAGGTGCTTGCTGAGTGAGTGATGGCATTCAGTGCATGAGGCCTCTTGATCGATAGCAGATACAAAGGACTCGGTGGTGCCCATCTTACAGGAACACACGTAGCCTTTGTTTAAGCCCTGGACAGTGCATTTCCCAAATAGTGTCTTCACCTTCTTCAGATCCGTCGGAATAGTAGCTGCTGTAGAGGATGCCGGAGTAAAGACGCCGGTCCCGTCAGATGACGAGGACTTCTCTATGGGCTGGGACGACATCACTAGGAGGGTCTGTAGAAGCAAGAGAGAAACAAGAGGAAGCTGACTCTGTAGATGGAATTGATGGTCTTCTCTGAACGAAAATACTCAGCTTCACATCCGTGGCTGGGCAGACCGATGGTTGGGAAGATTGAAACCGGAATGTTTCTCCGTGAAACTGAACGTTGCGGGAGTTCGATAGAACACAACCAAATTTAAACCCGAGAGCGAACAGGTGGCTGAGTGGGATAGGAGGAAGTGAAGTTCCGGTGTAGTGAAGTGAATGCCTGCGCGGATGTGTTCATCATGACTGCCGTCTTAGGATCGGTGCAAACAGGCCCAGTCATGCAGTGTTCAGTTTTCTTCCCCCACCCACATCGCTGACACAATCTCACATCGACAAAGAATCCAAATGCAACATGCGAAGAAAGATCTATCAAGAACCGTGAATGAATCGCCTTACCCCAACCCCCACTTGCAGATCCTCCTTTTCCTTCTTGCTCTTCTTCTTCTCCTTCTTCTTCCTCCTCCTCCTCGTCCTCCTCCTCGTCTTCTTCTTCCTCCGACCTCTCTTTTCCTTTCTCTTCCTCCTTCTCATCCTACTCGTCCATAACGACATCGAAAACAACACAGCCATCAGCAGCAGACAAGCTGACTTCCAGTTCCAAGCCCCAACACATGCCAACTCAGTCCGCCAGAGACTGAAAAGATCCCCAATGACACCAGCTCGTCGATGTACTGGCTGCGCGGAAGACATAAGCCGGGCCAAAGTGGCACGCTCGCACTGTCCGCATAAATACTGCTCATCTTGCCTAGAACGCCACTTCAAGTCCTCACTAACAGAAGGGGGCCGGTTTCCTCCAAGATGCTGCGGACGGCCCTATGACATAGCCGCTGTGAGCAAGCACCTCACACCTGAGACCCTCCGGCAATACGAGAAGAAAAAGGTTGAGTTCGAGACTCCGAACAAAGTATACTGCTCGCGTGGACGGTGTTCTGCCTTCATCCCCTCAACGTGGATCGCCAACAACACGGCAAATTGTCCCAACTGTGGCCACCAGACGTGTGCTGTCTGCAAGGAACCGTTTCACACGGGATTTTGCTCACAAAACACCGACTACAACCGACAGATGAGCGCCGCGAGGAAATACGGATGGCAAACATGTCCTCACTGTAGGCGACTCGTGGAGCGTCATTCCGGATGCCAACAAATGGCGTTAGTCAGAACCTCTCTAAGCTCCCCCTCGTTTTTCCCGCGGCTCCGATACTAAATCAGAACGTGCCCCCCTTTAGGTGCCTTTGTGGCGTCGACTTCTGCTACTTCTGTGGTAGAGTTTGGAGGACCTGCGGGTGTAAGGGTCCGGCTGCTGATCCCAGGGCTGACGAGTTCGCGCAAATCATGGAGCGCTCGGAGAACCTCCCTTCTGGAAGCGTCGATTACATCGGCCCCGCCTTTCCGGATCGTGGTCATGCTACCCCTCCTGCAAACTTCCCTGAGGCTCCCCAGAATCCCCGTCGCTCTCGGGGTGGTGGGCTTTTTGGACTTTTCACAGGCCGTCGCCATGCCCGTGCCCGGGATCCTCCAGAATCTCCCGGGTCGCCCGTGGCCACTCCGCGGGGTGGTCCGTTCATGAGCGGCCCGCCCCAGAGTCCCGCCCCTACAGGTGATGGCTTCCACTCCTCCCCGTCCGTCCCTCTGGGCCTTACCCCGGTTGGGTAGATTTTGACTAATCACCCCTCTTGTAGTAGAACAGCGACCTCAACCGGCTCCCCAAGCCCATCCGTCTTCCCACCTCTGGGGCCAACCGTTTCGGAGTCACCTCGCCGTGGGTAGTATGGTGAGTAGCCACCTTCGCCAGCAAGAGCTTCGGCGCGGTGGGAGGTACCAGCCCGAGGCGTACCATCTGGAGCGGATCAGACAGGAAGTCCTCGAATTTCGGCGCCAACATGAGAATGACTGGAAGTTCAACGATGTAATTTGATGCGGCTAGCTTCTCCTTCCTGCACTGCAGGAGAGATCCAGTTTTCTGGTGAGTCGTGCGGTGAAGGAAGGAGACCGTGGAGGATGCGCCATATCTCTGAATCTATTGTACCCGTGTATTTAGGGAGTGCCGTGGATTTGCATACTTTGGAGGTTTCACCACTTACCGGCGAAACAGGACTTCGTTGTCTGGGTACTTGCTGTATCCTTCTTCAGTTTGGAACGGAGTCGAACTTGAGGCTGGAGCTCGATGTTATTTCTCTGTGTTGGCCGTCTCGTGTTGATTTTTGAGTACTTTATGATTCTGAAATTCGATAGGGCTTTTGCAGGTATCATATTCATCGATCTCGGGTCTTAAGGGCCTGTGTAGTTCTGTTTCGGTACGAGTATGCGCATATGAGCCTGATCTTTGCTGGGGTATGTCCCCCTCTGGTCCTTGGTAGGTTGTGCTCCGGATGTCGTGTGGGTGAGCGTTTGCTGGTAGCCGAAGGAATATATGGCATCGAATGGATTGAAAACTGAACACTGTTAGTTCAAGGCCTCGGCAATTCACATAAACTGCCAGCCATTCTCAGCAAAGTTCAAGCCAGCTAGTAGGAATATACTGGCTGATGTTGTGCTCAGCAATGGTTCGAATAGTTATTGCGCAATCTCTAGAGAAGTAGAGGTGGTGGCAGATATTGGTCCAGACAGGAAAATTAATTTATAAAATGAGAAACATTGAGCAATATCACCAAGTAGCATCATTGGTCTAGTGGTAGAATTCATCGTTGCCATCGATGAGGCCCGTGTTCGATTCACGGATGATGCAACACGTTTCCTTTCTGGGAACCTACCGTTTTTAGCATCCGTTTCTCGATCGGACTCATCACGATTCGGTCATGGACCTCAACTTGATCTCATGATTTCATTTGAAGTTACATGATTATTTTTTAGGATCACAAAAGACTTGCAAATCGCGTGACTGCTACTCAAGCGCATTTGTCATCTTAATCCAACTATATACGTGAGTAAATAAATACTGAACTCCCTCACCTCCAACTAGTACGCCCCCTTACGAGCCTTGTACTTGGGCTGATCCACCGACTTGACTCCCTTCAGCGCCGTCAGGACCGGAGTCTCGTAGCTCAACTCTAGGCCCTCCACCTTGGCACCACCCTCATTCTGGGCCCACACACTCAGTGCGATCCAGTTCGTTCCTTGGTAGTTCAAAATACCCTGGGGAACCGGGAAGCTTGTCTGGGGTCCGATATTACTCACATACTTACCGTACTGGTATCCGTTCACATACAGCTGCGCACGATACGCGTCGGGAGTAGTGCTGTTGGCGAAGTTGAAGAACAGCGGCACGTCCCATCCAGTCGGCAGGTCGAGCTCGAACTCAGCACTATAGAATCCGATGCCGGGCTTGGAAAGGCCGTCGAGAGGACTGGCGGACTTCCATTTCTGGCTGGGAGGTTGAGGCTGGTGGTATCCCTGGCGCTCAGCGTAGAGACCACCTTCGTTTAGAGGACCGCGAGTCTTATCCTGGTAGTCTTCGCCGCCGAGGTTGCCCGTCAACTTCCAGGAGATGTCGCTGGCGTCGTGCCCGGCAAGGTCATAGTTGAGGATACCACGGGGCGCCTTCATGAGTTCTGCACCGACGGTCCAGTCCTCGTCCAGACCAAGGTTATCGACGACCACCGTGAAGACGTATTCCTTGCCGGACTTCAACTTCGGAAGAGTGACGGTTTGATTGTAGTCAGCGTAAATAAAGAGACCGGTGAAAGAGCCAAGGAAGGTATCGTTGAGCCAGATGGAGCTTCCAAATGCAGTACCACCCTGAGTATCGACAGTAAAGGTGGTCTCATCTCCGGTAGCGACGAAACGACCACGGTAGATCAAGTAGCCAGTGTGGAAGCCATAGTCGGACGAGTATAGCGAAGTCGGAGTGGTCAAGGGGCGGAACGTGTTCTTGGTCTCCGCAAGATCGGCGGCTGTCCAGAGAGAGTCGTCGTACGAGGATTGGATCTCAGGAAGCGTGTCCAAGTACTTCCAGCTCAGGCCCTTCAAGCTCGGAAGCGAGATCTTGGGGGCGCTGTATTTGACTTCCGTCGTCCAAGCACCGTTCTTTGCGACTGTGTGACTGGTCTTCTCTCCATTGATGTAGAGGTTGCGAGTGGTGGCCGGAGCACCAAAGACTTCGATGGGGGTGGTGGCGTTGAAATCGGCAGTGAGGTAAAGGCCGTTGCCCTTGACATAGGCAGTCCGCACGAGGTAGCCTGCCTTGACAATAATGGATGATGCAACTGCAGCCTGGGTGCTGAACTCCGTTGATGTACTATCTTTACCGACTTGCGGTACCCAGTAGTTGTACGCAGAGTTCCGATCTATTCCTAGTCAGATCTATTAACCTAATCATGAGATATAAAGTCTTACCTAGGAGATGGATCTGCAAGTCTCCAACCTTGATGATTTGACGAGTAGAGGAGACATCCCAGCCAATCACAAGAGACTTTCCAGTCTGCTTGGATGAGATGGCAGATGCCTTGCCTTCGACAACAGTCACATTCGACTTGGTAGTGATCGCGAGCTCATGGTGCTCATCAGCTCCTCCGTACAGAACGAGGACCTTTCCGTCAGAGAACTTCTTCCAGGTGAAAACCTCAGCAGTTGAGTACAAGATGTTTGTTCCAGAGACATCATAGTCGACAACGTGAATCTTAGAATCGCGTCCGTTGAGGCTCAGGCTGCCTCCCAGCTGAGGGATTGTCAGACTACCAGCACTGGTTGGAACCTTCAGCTTGTATGAGGTGGAAGCCTGGCTGGTGTAGTCCGAGTGTCTGACAACAAAGAAAGAGCCAGTGTTGTTGCTACCGAGCAAAGGAGTGACGGTAATGTCGGAAGTATCGGCATAGCCCGAAGTGGTCAAGTTTCCTGGAGTGGCAAGGAGGTAACCTGGCGAGGCCTTGGCAAAGTTACCGAGGAGCTTTAGCTCACTGTACTTCTCCCTGGTAAGATTGCGAGATTCGGTCAACGGCGAGCCATAGTCGTAGGAAGTGTAGCCATTTGCATAACCCAGGTTGCCCCAGTTGGTTCCTCCAAAAGTCTTTGATCATTAGTTGGCATGCGAACCCGAGAGAAGTGTGTAGAAAGCTCACCATGTACAGGTTGAGGATAGCAACGCCGAAGCTAAAGTCGTTCTTGTAGAAAACTCGTTCGAACTCGTGATTGACTAGAGCAGCACATTTGGCAAATCCAGGACCGCCCCATGGGTCAAAAGCGCCAGCTTGGAACTACTACTGGTTAGATCTAGAACACAACATGGCAGTACACAACATACCTCAACAATCGAGTACGGAGTGGTAGGACTCTGTTCGAGATGAAGGGTGCGGAAGTTGGTAGGCAAGTTGCCAGCAGGCCAAGTGGAGGGGTTTGCCTAAGCGATATTAGCATAGAATTAAACACCGCAGCGCAAGTACATACACAATCAAACCCAAGCCTAAGCAAGTTAGTAATAGCTTAGCACAGAAGAGGGCCTTGACTTACGGGTAGCTGTCATGACCATAGATATTCACCGAGCCCTCGCCGGTTCCGGGGGCGTTGTGCCCACTGGCAGAGGCATCGTTGCTGATGAAAGGCACCACGATGCCCGCATTACGAGCCTGGTCAAGGACGTATTGCATGTAAACGGGATCAGGGAACGTGACATTGCCCGAAGAGCCAGAGTACTCGTTCTCAGGCTGGTAGAGGATGATAGGACCGCCGTTAGTGATCTGGTACTTGGCAATGGTTGCGGCGACGTGCGCGATGTAGCTAATAACTGTCAGAAATGCTGCTGTGTAAGGGGAACAGAACACAAATCATACTTGTCAGTAGCTTCAAGGTATGGCTTGTCACTCGAACGAAGGATTCCATCGACTCTCTGCAGCCAACCGGGGAAACCTCCTCCAGAAACCTCGGCATTAATGTACGGTCCCGGACGGGCGAGAAGGTAGATTCCAGCCTCAGCAGCGGCTTCAAAGAAGGGTTCGAGCGCGAAAACGCCGTCCGCCCTGTATTCGCCCGGCTTGCCTTCCAGAAGAGCCCAGTCGACATAGAAGGAAACCGTGTTGAAGCCGAGAGCCTTGATCTTCTGGAAGATATCGATGTACAGGGTGGGAACTGGGATTCTGTTTTCGACACGTCAGAAACGATACAGAAGATAAGCTGTGGAATGACCGACCGGTATGGATGAACTTCTCCGCTGAAGATCATGATTCTCTCCCCATTGATGAAAAGTGACTTGTCATCCCATGTGACCTTTTGTTCCCCTCAGTCAGTCGATGTCGATTGTCTCGTCTATAGCTGAGCAACGTACATATTTCTGAGACAAATCCCTCTTCGCTGCGTCAGGGTGCTCGGTGAGAGTAAAGCCATTGAAGCGATGCTTGACCGCTGCGCCAGCTGCGTGCACCGCCAGCAAGGCAGCACCACAGACTGGTAAGAACCTCATGTTGGGTTAGATAGAGCTTGCCGCAAAAGCTGTATCGACCCAGAGCAATTGGTACAGTACTGCCGTACCCAGTGTGGTCCAGAGTAGAATTCCTCCCCGCAAAACAGGGGGGGCAAGTGACTCATTTTATCCCCCTCCCTTTGCTTGCCTCCGGCAACCCCTCTTGTGTAGGCTGAATACTGGCCAAAATCGTTGGGATCTTAGCCGGGCCGCGACCCTCGTTTGTGAACCAACCGCATTGACATCATATGGCGCGAGGTCGAAGAGAGGGGAAGTGGGACTCGCATATTAAAACGAAAGGTACTAGAGACAGACATACAGGCAATCAACGGTGGCCAAGTGAGTCTAGCGAGAAGATGGAGTGATGGTGGTGGAAGAAGAGCAAGAGACTAACGGGGAAAGCGGCCTGACGATCCTCCACAGGGGCAGTGCCCCGTTGGGTTAGACCCGCTGGTGGTTTGTTTGCTGCGGGGGTTTTCTTCTTCTCCGCACCTGCATCTTCTTCCTCCAGGCTTCCCTTACAACTTACGGAGTACCAATTTCTCTTTATCTTCCCCTCTGCACTCGTCGATCTCGGGTGGTGATAATCTGGCCGTCGTACCTGTGTATGGGTACTCCCATGCAGGAACGGATTTCTGATGTGTAGTATCGAAGCCACTCCCTTCATTGAGATTATCGCAACGGTAATGGGGCGATGTGGTGCCTCGCCATGACGGAAGGACCCTGGACTCAGAACCCAATCAGTCCAAGCTTCGCGGATGGCTGGACTGTGGGGTGCCACCGGAGAGTTCTTGTTAATTTGTGGATAAATTCTTTGAACTACTGACTGTCATCATTTAAGTTGAATCATGCCATCCCCACACCTCTTTCCCGGGATAGACGCCTTCGCCCAAGACAAGCAAGAAATGAGAGCAGCCTGAAAATTGCAAGACTGAAAAGATTCTGCGGAGCTTGGCTTGAATACACCAAATTGCATTGAATTCACGATTTACGCTTCATATCCCTTAGCCTTTGTGAAGGTCATCGTCATCCTGAGCTCAGCTGCAGCATGGTCGAGCTAGCAACGCATCTCCTGCGCCCGGTAATTGCATCATTTTCTCCGACATTCACCCGCGATGCAGCAGAAACTGGACCCCTCACTCTGACATTAACCGAGAGAGTTCAAAGTTAATCTAAAGAGTAATGAAAAAAATTTATCCATCGTTTCGAAATCCGGCTCACTCTGACATTTCTGGCCAAGCGTATGCTTTGCTGTGACATTTTAGGACGAGGCAGACTCAATGGACCCTGAAGGCTCCACGACCATTTTTTCTCATGCGTGTCCGACAACTCTTGTTTCCACCCAGAGCGTCCACAATGCCTAGTTGTTGCTGCGAGCCCGCAGGGTGACAAGCTCCCGCACATATCGCTTCAGGTCCCTCAGTTGCAGACTTGGCTGTTGGAACGCGACCTGGATTTCCTCCAGAGAGCGGCCGCGGGTTTCGGGCATATAAGCCGCCAGGAAGGCGACGGTGCCTAGCGCCAAGCCACCGAATAGAAAATACACGCCGAAGGGCGATTTATCCAGAATAATTGGAGTGATAATAGCGACCAACCAATTCGTGAACTAATACGCACGCGTCTCATGAGTTACAAATCCCCTAAAGAAAGACAGAAAAGGAAGGGGGAAAGTCTTACAAAAGCCAACGCTTGTGCCACGCAATTGGCCGACGCGCGCACATGGGCTGGTTGGATCTCGCTGGCGTAGATCTTGCTCATAATTGCCCAGCTGACTGAATATGCTAGTCCGAACACATAAACTGCTGTGATGACCACCCACCGCGCCGCACCGGTCTGATGTACCACCCCAGCAGCATACAGACCTCCGATGAGGAGCATGCACGTCGCGAGAACAAGCCCTCCCGTTATGGCCGATGTACGACGACCCCAGCGATCTGCCAGCAGGAAGGCAGGAATAGAGACGGCCAGCATAAGGATCGCAGATACCCCGGAGGCTAGAAATGACGCGGTCGAGGAAGATAGGCCGGCCTGGGCGAACAGGGTGGGCGCGTACTGGGTTCTTGTTAGTCACTTACGTGGCTGCAAGGGAAGCGCAAAGATCTGTGTCCATGGAAGAGACCGAGTACTCACATACAGAACCCCGTCTATTCCCGAAAGCTGTACCATTCCCAAGACAAATAGTCCCAACACAGTGCGTGGTCGATACGCTCGAGAGAAAAGCAACACGAAACTCTGCCAGGGCGACAGATTGGAGAAGTGCTCGGTAGCAGTGAAGCTGCTTTCGACTTCGTCCAGAGGAAACTGTAGACGCTGCAAGGAGCGTCGAGCCTCAGTTCGTCGGCCGTGGAGGATCAGCCAGCGGGGGGACTCAGGTAGAGTAAGGCAGCTGATGACCAGACAAGAGGCAAACACGCATTGGGCAAGCAGCGGTAGTCGCCAGGCTATACTAGAAGGAATAGCAACGGTAGCGTAGCAGGTGAAGTAGCCAGCACAAGTGCCCGTTACGGCAAAAAACTGCGGTAGTCCCGCGAGAGCGCCGCGGAATCGAAAGGGGGCGATCTCACATATGTAGACGCTCATGGGTCCGAGAAAGATGCCTTGACCGGCCCCAGCTAGTGCTCGGCCGGCCATGAAGAGCGCCAGCCGTGGTGCCATGCCCTGAAGAAGTGACCCGACCGCAAACAACGCCGCACCAAGCAAGATTATTCGCAATCGACCCGATCGATCCGCCATATGACCGGCTATAAGAGATGGGAGGACGCCCGCCAGCATCATGAGCGCGACCGTGAACCCTAACAGGAACGGGGACAGTGGGCCTATCGATTGGCTGAACTGTGCCATGGAAAGCAGCGCGCCAATCGAGCCCGTGTCATAGCCGTTGGAGAAACCACCGAGGGCGACAAGGACCGAGGCGAAAACGTATTTTGGAGGCAAGCGTAGTGCCATTGTGAAATATAGATAGATAGATGAGGAAATGGATGAGTATCTGAGATGGGCAGGACTGTACAAAGCAATGAAGATGGCGGGGTAGAAACCCCTACCCTCTCTGTATTTGCTTATTGTCGATCTGTGCCCAGCTTATATCATATGCGGGGTTGAAGATAACGTCTTTGCGTCTAATATGTCATCGATTAGGGCTGACTTATGCCTAGAGTCAGACACACTCAACACTTGCTGATCAGAATAGGTACCGCGAGAGCTGATCTTGTCTGTGCACTAGGACTATTGGAACGGGCGCAGCACTGCCTGATGGGCACTGGTCGTCGAGACTGTTACAACAGATGGCTTTCTTGAATCCTCTTTCTTCTCGCTTATTTGTCCCTGTATTTTAGTTCAGGCTGGGTCAAAAGGAATGAGCCATAAGCGGATGATGACGTTTCTTTAGCATACGCGGTATGAGGGCTTCTTGAAAAGCAAAGCGTCCGAGAATTAGGTAGACATTTTCTCAGGAAGTCCACAGAATCCCAGGCCACATGTCGAAGTCTTCTGTGCCGTCTATTTGCAGATCAGTTGGGTTGACAAGATTCATATCGTATTCCGACGTGCCAAGGAAGTCCTGCATTGTTGGCTCCAGGAATGCCATTTCCGTAGTATAATTTGCGGGGGGCAACACTCCGTCATTATGACTCTCTAGTTCCGGGTCTGCGACTATACCTTGGACCGATGGAATAGATAGCCTTGGTGTATGGCTACGGGGCTCTTGTCCTGCGCGTGCATTATCCGAGTTGGCGGGTAAAGCCTGCTTAACGCGTTTCAGGTTTTCATGGAATTCTGAAGCGGCGAGATTGCCTTGGTCGCTCATTCGGTGCAAGATCTCGGTTGCCGTTTCCAAGGCCTCCAAATCCGCAGGGTTTCCAATAGAGGGGAGGAGCCCTGAAATCACCAACGCGATGCATGAGGAGAACAAATACTGGGCATAGAAGTAGCCATACATCGGCAAGGAGCCATTAACCCATTCCTCAATGATCAAAGAGTGTGAGTGCCGCGCAGCGTGAATGCATGCTTCACTGATTGTAATCACGGGCTGTGGAAGGTCTTCAGAGGGTTCTCGATGGCCGCTTTGGAAAAGAGCGTGAAGTAGAATCGGGCGGGTGGCTAGGATGACACACTGATGCTTGTGATGAGAAAGTGTAGTTCATTTCAAAGAAAGGCAGATGCCTACCTGATTGAATTGTAAATGCAGGGAGACAATGTGCTTGGGAGGTGCGCTGTCCTCCTGACGTAACCGTACATGTTCTGGGAGCGACTTCAGCCAATCTTGTAGAGCAAGTAGCAACTGCTGCTCTCGCTGCAGGAATGGCTCTATGTGGTGCTTCCTGCCATAAACCTTGTCTATCGTCTGTCCTATAATGCGAGACAGTCGAATGCTAGCCACTAGGTATGCGGTATCTGAGAACTGCTCCTGGGCAGTGGGATCAGCAACCTCTGCTGGCAAGTCGACATGGATGTCTTCGTCGCGGATCTGCAATGGAAACCCAATTTTCGATGTAAACATTCGATCAAACACATAGATCGCCCACCAAAGTCGTACTCGGTGTTCACGTTCTATAGCATTTGCACACTGTTGTAGGGGAATATTATGGTTGAGTCCAAGAACTAGACCTAAACGCATCGCGCTGCCTATCAACATATACCCAGAATGCCTTCGGTTGAGGAAGTAGGAGTATAGAGACTAGTAGCCAGTTAGCTTTTCCTTCGCACAAGCAATGTAGGAGACCCTTACCAACAACAATAGACTCTCCACATATATCATCCCTGGCCGCTCCGGCATGGTGGGTATAAGACTCATTGCTCGAACGTAGTATTTCGTTCCTGGGACCTTGCTGGTGGGCGATGCACTTGACCGGGAGGAATATACTTCACCCAGCGCAAAGAGCCCGAAGAACTTGCATGTTAAGGCGGGATCATCTTGCAGTGAGGGGATCTGGTAGACAGACTCCAGCTGCTCGAGGGTCGATTTACGGAGGACTAGATGGTAGACACGACTCAATTGATTGAAAGCGATGCGGACTAGAAGACGAGCCTGAGCAAGTCCAGGCCACTGGCTTGCGCCTTCGAGCAGAGAAGACTCAGGCGTATACTGAGTTCGCGCGACGTGAGCTGTTTTTGGGTCTCCTGTAAGAAATTGGCGCAATCGCGTCGAGAATGCTGTGCATGCTGCTTCTCCCATATAGATGGGAGGGGCGGATGAGTCGTATGGATAGAACCAAGCGCGATCTCCGATGAGTGGGTTCTGGACTGAAGGGTATGTATCAGACGACGGCACAGGGAGTTGTACAGAGCTGGAAGGAGAGCTATGAGGTGTGCTGAGAGCGCGTAGTTGCTCTTTCAACTGAGAATTCTCGGAGAGGATCTCATCAATGTAACTGGCCAGAATGGTCGAGGATCAGACGTGATTGAAGTGGGGAAAGTGAAGAAGGGAGGGGAAAAAGGTAAGGTACCTTTCCTGAACTTTGAGCTTTCTATCGCGAACGGCATACTGACAGGTTTCCCCACACCCAGCTTGCCGACATCTTGAGCAAGGCTGTTCACCTGAACATTTGACTTTGAGAGAGTGACAGCGATTACAGCTGTGCCGAACGGATCAAGTCAAACACTGCACCTGCATTCGGGGAATTTCAGGACATACGCTACAGGTTTCTTGTTGAGCCTTTTCGGTGGATTCTTGACGACAGGCATGGATACTAGGATTGCTTCAATGACCCAGTGAGAATATCAATTGTGAAGTGAACGAGTTGTGGCGGATAGTCGGCGAGTTGATCTTTTGCCGACAGGAGATTCGATGACAGCATGCCTTACTCAGCATCGGCATATCCGCAGCCAGCCGACCCCAGCTGTGATCTACAGCAAGTTCATATTACTCCTCGCAACAGATTTATCAAGGAGTCAAGGCTACTTTGACCTCTGACTATAACTTGCCACTGTGGTGCATGTCATTATCAAGACGTCCACTGATTTCAACATCAACGGCAGTATAATATCAGCAACCGAGCAACGTTATAGGCGAGGTTGAGTTGCCGAGCAATGTGATTTGGATTTTGGTTCGGCAGGTTCAATGAATATGCCGAGCATTCGATGAACCAGACAATAAAACATGAAATATATCCAGGCAAAATCATGCCAGGATGTCCTGGGATACTAACCAGCATGAAACGATTCAATGCTTCATAAATCCAACTTCCGTGTTCGGTTTCACCTGGAGACCCCTTCCCAGCCCTTCAGCGTTGGGGAGACAATCAGAGGTAGTGTTTTGGTCACAAGCCATAGAAGCTCTTCTCCACTCCAGTTCGATCTTACATGTGAAGGTACTATACATTGTCTATCTTGACAAGCACTCTTCACTAACAGTCCGGCAGGCAAGGTGAATGTACAGGTGGACCTTAGTGAGAACGCAGTGCCGTTACCACAACCAATAGCATCAACCACTTTTCTGCGCATGAGCCAGCCACTTGATGATCCCTCCGAACGAGCGGAAGGCCTTGACGCCGGAGTCGAGTATTGTCTACGCTTTGAGTTTGTGGTTCCTTGCGCGCTACCACTTCAAGCCTGCCAGCATAGTTGTCGTCATGGACAAGTACATGAAGAACATCTCTCCCTTCCGCCAAGTCTTGGAACATTAGGCCACCGGAAGAAGTCATTACATGGCAAGGATGATATGGCTCCTGAAACAGCCTCAGTCATTTACCACATATCTCTCCGAATAAGCAAGAAGTCTTCTAAGGCCGGGACAACAGCCCCCATTGTGGAATGGGAGCACCCGATAAACATTCGTCCGTCGCGCGTGGAGCGAGCACCGGTCCTCGTGCCACGGGAAAGCAAATTCTATTGCCTGCGGCGAGAAGGTGCAATCACAAGGGGTTTTTCCAGAATACTCCAGGGTGTTCTGTCAGCCCAAGCAGTCCAACCCACAGCGATAGCACCAGAAAAGGCTCCTTTTAGAATGGTGCCCATCGACCTGCATTACAGAGCCCTATCCGGTGCCCCTCCGCCAAAACTGTCAGCCATCAAAGTCGAGCTCCAAGCGATCACCCTCTTCGGCGCAAAGCCTTGGTCAGACTTTCCCGACTTGACCAATCCGGTAACTTGGGGCCGCCACCAGAACCATTATACATACTCGGTGTCGTTAGCAGACATGCAGCCCGGCCCTCTGAAGTGGCAGCCGAAGAGCACAGATGATGAGACCTCGCCGAGCTTCAGATCCACAATCCAGGTGCCCATGGAGCTTCCTGGTGATTTCGACTACCCCCCAACATTCAGCCACTGCTTCATCTCCCGGGTGTATGCCTTGAGGGTCGATATCTGTTATCGGGCCCCGGGTGCGTGGGGGAGAAGCAGAGTGTCGTTGACTGTTCCGCTGCAGATATTGTAGATAGCTATAAGCACCGGAAGATAGAGATACCCCCCTTGTATATTAGAAGCTACTACCGATCAATTGCCGTCTTTCGCACCTCCCAATGTGTACTTTTCATTAGAAGTCAGACCGGATACCTTTCGTATACTGTCTCCACCGTACGGTTATCAAGCCATAAACAGTGATTCTAATGCCCATGAACTATCCCGAAAGAAGAATGAGTTATCCCCTACTTCTGAAACCTCTTCACATGGAAGGCAGAGACAACCCCATTAACCCCCCAAAGCAACATTCACCCAGCACACAATGACGCTCCGAATATCTCCCAACCGAGAACAAAACGAGTCTAACTTCTAACCGACACTCCCTTTTTACTATACCAACTATCCTAATCCCCAAGACGCCCCCACAACCCAACCCAACCACCAGCCCCCTTCCCCCCGGGCTCCCTCAAAATCTACTCCGTATAACAAGGCGTCCGATCCAACGCCGTAAACGCACTGATACACTCATACTTCCCCCCCGCATTGCAGGCGGTGCCGGCCGTTCCATCCGAGTTGCTGACCCCATCCGCGCGATGAGCGTTGGCGCAGATGGACGCGCAGTCCAGCTCTCCGGCGCTTGCGTCCTGGACACGATGCCCGAGTAGCGTTAGCGATAAACAAGCCCTCATTGGTGTGACATGCTGTGGGCGTTGGGGATGGGTCTCACCGAGTACACGCAGCAATGCTCGCTGTTGGCGAATTCGCATTGGCAGTAGGTGCATGCTTGGGTGGTGGTGGCGAGGGCGCCGAGGAGGAGGAGGCCAAGGGGGAGGAGTTGGACCATTGTGATTTTGCTCGAGGGTTTTTGGGGTGTTGGTGGAGAGGAAGAAGAGGTAGGTTGCGAGAGGTGAGAATGGGGACTTTGGCTTAGAGCTGATGCTGGTGGGAAAAAAATGAGAGGAGGGGGGTTGACTGGCTCTTTTTATATTGTAGGTTGAGCTGAGTAGAGAGAGAGGAAGCAAGGTCGAGTGCGGTTCCTCATCATGAAGCATTGGACAATGAACTATACAGTACACCGCTGCTCTACCTCCGATGCCCTGGAGAACATGCCTCCTCGTCCAATGATCCGTTCTCAATTCTCGAGGACGGTCTTCACGATCGGATGCGCTGTATTATCGGGGAACAGCTGTACCGATCTTCCCAGAATGGTGATCTACGCGGCCTACCTTGACTGACGGAGCCATCATGCCATATCAGCAGGATCGCTCTGGATCATAGTGTACGTAGATGTAAGTTTGCATGGGACTGAACATGATCGACACGATCCTGCTCCAAATGGGCTCGGCACACTCTAAATAACTTTGGCTTTTGACGCTAAGCTGAGACTAGCGCTGGCGCTGATTTAAGGAGCGTAGTCCATGATACTATAGATATAATTTAGGTTTCAGCGACATTGTTCCGTCGGAGTGAGACAATTAATTTATTCTGTGATCCTTCAGGTTGTTGGTGTAGTTTGTGCCGCGTAGTCCGGCGGGGACTTTTTTGCGGTCAGCCATGAACCACATGTATGGTCTGCGTCTCGTGGATAATGCTTAGCCAAAGTTTGGTCTGAGTACATATCTTGTGGATCGTCGAGTCCGTAAGCTGCTCCGAAGGTGCGTATTATCTATTGTGGCAATGTTGTGGCAACATCCTGGCCTTGGGGTTGACTGCGAAAGATAGGAAATTTATTGAAATTCTACACTCAGTTATTGGTAGGAAAAAGATTATATACTGTAGATATATGATTATAGAAGATAGGTTACTCAAAAAGGGGTATGTACAGTAGATGACTGACATGGCTTGAGATACAGCTGAGACTCAGTGAGTCACTGAAAAAGGGTTGTACTAAGCAAGTAGCCCCCAGACTAGGCCGACGAAGCTCCCTAACTTAACAAGACGCAACAGAGGGATAGTTCTTGCAAGCACTGGACTTCTTGCCGCCAGTAACCTTGACATCAGTCCAGGTCCAATCCTTGCAGCTACCGCTGCCACACAGGAGGTAGACCTCCGTGGCACCGCTGGCAACACTACCGGTCACGCCATCCAGTGTGATATCCGTGACCGACACACCGTTGGTAGGCTTGCCGGTGGGCTTGCCATCCTCGTAGTCCTGCTGGATGACCACTCCGTAGTCGGTGATACCGGACATGACAATGTTCGTGTATTTGACGTCGGAAACGGAGCCCGTGGCGCCGGAGATGGTCTTGATGCGGACGGCATTCTCAGAGTTGGACACGGTGGAGTGCTCGATCGTGACGTTCTTGACGGTGTTGTCGGAACGGCCACCCACGGAGCCGATAGAGAGGCCGTGGCCGCCGATGCAAGTTCCGCCGGTGAAGTAGATATTCTAAGCAGTAGACCATGGATTAGTGACTGCCTTGATCAGAAAGGGGGCCGGAGAAAGAGGCTGATATACTTCGCCGGAGTTGATTGCGAGACAGTCGTCCTGGTTGTGGACCCAGGGCTTGATGATGTTCACGCCAACCGAGTTGCCCACGTCGAATGCGTCGGTGTTGTGGCCACCAAGGCTGTCGCCATCAGCGTTGTTGATGGTAATATCGGTGAGGGTGATATCGTTTGCCTCGATACTGAAGGCCATGAGAGGGGTATTCTTGATCTCGAGTCCAGTGATGGAGGAGGAGTCCAGCCCGTGGGCGTAGAAGAACTTGGGCTTGGTCTTTCCGCTCGTTCCCTTACCATCCCACCAGCGGGAGCCATCGCAGTTGATGAGATGACCGGAGGCTCCGGTAACGGTGATGTCCGTGCCACTCATTGAGATCAAGGGACCCGCCCATTCCTCATAGCCAAAAGTGGTGGTGCCTTCAAAGGTGACATGAGTGCCGCTCTTGAGGCCGGTCAAGTCCAGCGTGGTTCCGGCAGGAACAGCAATGTTGTCGAGGACAATGGTCGAGCAGCTGGCCTTACCCGCCTTCGCAGCAGCAGCGGTGGTGAAAGTGCAACTGCCGCGAGCCTCTATGGGGGAAGCAGACACAAGAGTAGCCCCAGCAGCCAGGCTGTAGGCCACAAGAGAAGAGAAGGAAGGCATGGTGGTTTAAGGAAAGTGTTTGTGTTTCTATAAGAAAAGAAAGCGAAAGGAACGAAAGTGGTAGACAGTGATTGAGAGAAGGAGTGAATGATCGAGTGCTGTTCATTACCATCGAGCGCCATGTTGACGTCTTATATGGTCGTGCTGGGTGAGCGTATCACAGTGCTGCTCATGATCTTGTACCCCTTTTGTCAACTGCGAATCCCTCTCGCTCCGAGTGCTCACTCTACATGAAGTCAAGGCTAAGCTTTAACGGCATAGCTGGACCCCCTTGCAATCACTCGACCCTGATATCAATTGCAGTGCAGACCGGTATAGGGGTATTCTTCGGTACAGTCCAGCCACAAACCGCTTGTCTTACCTGTGGTGGTCCAATGGCTTGCGTTCCAGGGTCCTGATGGCGCCTTCGGCTCGCCTGAAGATTCCCTGGCCTTGGGTTGGTTGAACCTGGTTCAACCTGGTTGGGTCTAGTCAGGGTTCTAGTCGCAGTCCACTGACCGCTGATTAAACAATTTTACAAGCTTCGGCCTAGCGCTCTTGGTGAAAGCTCGGCTATACCAGTGTGGTCCTGTCGGCATATAGTTCACGTACTAGCCGGGGACAGTGGATTTTACTCCTTTTTCCTTATCAAAACACAGGAACGAAATACCGCTAGACGGAGTGACTTGATAAGGAGATTTCCCTTTCGTTGATAAAACCGTTCTTAATCCTTACTCTAACCCAAACGCCGCTGATTAACAGGCCCGGGGTTGATTCTCCCAGTGAGCCGGCAGCATATACAGTACAGCCTCCGTACAGTCCCTGAAAATCATTGCAGGGTGAAGAATTAATCTGGAACCCACCAGTGGCGGCCTCTAACCGGATCCAGTTAGTCAGGGAAGCACGCGGAAGCCGCTCGTCACGCCCTGCCCGCTTAGATAATCTCTCCATCGGTTCACCCGTTCATGAGGTAGGAAGAAAGAATGATTCCATGAGATGATTATACAGCCAACCCCAGTTCTCCCGTCTCCAGAATCATGGGAGAATCTTTGCGGGTGAAGGAAGCCTTTGCGGCTGCCACCAGGTTTCTGGATCCTGTTCTCCAAAGAGGTATGCAGACCTGATAGCCCTTCCGTGCCGTTGGTGTCGAGGCTAACCTAGTGTGAAGAAGAAATCCAAAAACATCGCGGAAAGTCCCTCCTGGACATTCTGCTAGGCAGCAACAGCTCTGAGACATGTGGAGAAGACGTGTCCAAACGAAGGACTGTCATTGGCAAGGCCTTGGAGATCCTTAGTTCCGTCCATACCGCCTTTGTGACACCACTGAGCGATGCCGATAATGAGGCCCTCTGCCACAGTTCGGCAGACGCAGAGGATGCTGCACTCGAAGATGCCAAGCGACGGCGGCTCCTCCATGCGCTGCTGGACTTAATCTCTCTAGAGGGTATCTACCCCTCGCTTTCGCAGGGAGTCGCGATCCCGCTTCAGAAAAGAGTCATATCGGTCTTGCCCGCAGGCGTCATCGCCCAGCAAGAGCAAGCTCCTGCGCACGAGAGGCCGCAGGACGAAACCCTTCTCGAGAAGATCATAATAGAACTTACCGATATAGTATTTGACGCACGACCGAGCATCCAGCCTGTAGTCCGTGGTCGTATTCTAAGTGATATGATCAGCGGGCTTTCGGATCTAGGTTACAATTCGATAGGGATGCTCGATGACCAAAAGTTACATTATCGTCATGGCCTTACCAAGCTGATCGAAGAGTAAGCTACTGCCAGGAGCGTATATTTACATTGACTAAGCCACGGCAGAACCCCCAGCACGGTAGTCCTTTCTACCCTCTCGCCGTTTCTTCAATCGGAGCCAGCCCCATGGTTCAAATCAGTTGTCTCTGGTTTCTTATCTCGAATCCCCCTCCGGCCAGACGGGGTCTTACAGACCATGATGTTTCTAGCTTCTCAGCTTGCACCCTCCCTTGGGGTAGAGTCACAGACTCAAGTGTCCAATGGTCCTCATTTCACCGTACAAGCAATTATGCAAACATCCCGCCTACTGTCATCTGTACCACGAGGGATGGATACGGATGAGTACTTTACTGCGATCGCTCCACAGCTGTTGAATTTGATAGATGGCGAAGACCCGGATCTGCGGAAGACCGCAGCATATGTCGTCGGTAATGGTATCTTATCGAAGCGATCGTATGGGTCTCGTGGAACGATAGGCCATTCCATCTTCTTAGTACCTATCTTTGAGGCGCTCGCCGCCAGCCTCAGCTCATCTTCAAGGCTATGGCTGACTAGCAAAGACGAGTGTCAAACGTCATCAGGACAGGTGTTGGTGGATGAGGCACTATTGATGCTGGCAATTGACAGACTGACCAGTCTAGTCCTCCAGCCTCCGAATCCAGGCCTCGTCAAGAGAGTCGTCCATCCAGTCCTTCTTCCCCTCTGGGGCCTGGCTTGCTATGCATTAGAACATCAAGCGACAGTGCTGCACGGAAAGGTGCTAACTATCTTACAAGCATACTTTGGTCTGTCAGGCGGACTAGAGCCATTGAAGAAGCTAGTCGATAACCTGCTCTGGGATGGCGGGCCTGCCTGGACCTATGGCATACAACCTCAAAAGTCTGTATCGCTAGTCAAGCGTGATTCGGCAGAAACAGGCCGTAACATTATTCGGCTCGTGGACAACTTGCAGTCGCGGGCAAAGCTGTTCCTAAGTGTCTTAGGTGCCGATCCCAATAGCGAGGAAAGGACGGGCGACATCTTCCTCTATGTCAGCGAGCGTTGGCTCGTGAGGCCCTCGAACGAATCAGAGATCCTCACCAGCATGAGACTTACACAAGAGGACGAAGACTCCAGCAATCTAATCCGCAAGCTGGTTAGTGCTAAGCTGGCTGAGACACTGCTGGATAATTTCAAGGATACACTATCTCGTCGTCCTCTCAGGGTGCTCGAACTCATCAAACAGATCATCGACGGCGAGCTACACGGAGCATATACTCGAAAGAAGAAGAGAACGGATCAGACATCCGGAAAAATGTCTCTTTCGTCCCTAGCCAGCATTGTCAACACCGAAGAAGCCGGACAAGAAGCAGACCCGCAACTGGATTCGACTGAATCCTTGCCCGCCGTATTTAGTCTGTTGTCGACAGTCCTCGCATCCCCCGAATTCACCACCTCCCCAGAGACAGTACCAGTGCTCGAAAGCATCAAATCCAAACTCGACGAACTCATCCCCTACCTCCCCCCCTCGCTGTCCAAAGCCGGCACAACCGCCTCCATGCTCGCCGAGATCCAACTCAGCGAGCAGTCCAGCGATAGCACCAGTGCCGCGAAAACCTCCTCCGAGATCTCCGACTTCGAAACCCACCGCCGCGCACTAACCAACCTCAACTCCGACCTCGCCCCCATCCAAGCCGAGGGCTTCTCCCTCCTCTCCACCCTGATCAAGAAATCATCCCCGGTCCTCGACATTCCCTCCACGCTTACCCTCCTCCTGTCCATTCTCACCGACCCCTCAGACGAACCGCTCACGAACGATGAATTCGTCTACCTCAACGCCATCAACCTCATCGGCACCCTCGCCTCGCGCCACCCACGCACCGTCCTCAAGACCCTGGTCGACCGCTACATCGACCGCCCCGAAGCCAGCGGCGGGCACGTCGACCAGCGCCTAAAAATCGGCGAGGCCCTCCTGCGCACCGTCCAGGACCTCGGCGAAGCCCTCACCGGCGAACCCGCCCGCCTCCTCGGCGAAGGGATGCTCACCGTCGCCGGCCGCCGCGCCCACAAGCCCGAGGCCCAGAAAGACCGTCGCGAACGTCTCGCCGCAGAACAGCGCAAGAAGGAGCGCGAAGCCCGTAAACAGGAGCGCGAAGCCAAGGAGATCATCATGCCGTCCGGCTGGTCCCTGGGGCCATCATCCCAAACCACCACCACCGACACCGCCACCAACCCTCTTGACGACGAAAACGAGGACGACGACGACGACGAGAAACACATCCCCGGCCAACTCGCGCACTACGAAAATATCATCGCCGCCTGGTCTGCGGGCTCAAAATCCGACGCCGAGCCGGACGATCTCCGCGTGCGCGCGTCAGCCCTCTCCATCCTCGCCACCGCCATCCGCACCAACATCCTGGGGTTGGGGCCATCGATCCTCAGCGCCGCAGTCGACCTCGCGCTGGCCACGTTGACGATGGAGCCCGAGCCCGAGAGCGCGATCCTGCGCCGCGCCAGCGCGGTGCTCCTGTCGGATGTGCTGAAGGCCATGGACACCGTGCGCGAGGAGAAAGGCGCCGACGCACTGGGGTTCGGGTTCTCGTTGGCCGAGCGTAATTCTGCTGCTGCGGTGGGGAGTAACTCGACGACCGTGATAGGGAATATTCCGCGGATGCTGCGGACCCTCACGTTCGTGGAGAGCGGGGAGATGGATCCCATTGTCAGGGGCCATGTGCGCGTCGTGGTTGAGAGTTTGGAGGCGTGGTTGGAGAAGGCTTTGATGTGGGGGATTGGGGCGGCGTCGAGGGGTGCTGCCGCTGCTGCTGCTGATCATAACAATAATGAGGGCCCGAGGTTGGAGTTGGGAGATCGGATTGCCGGGCTGAGGATTGATCCTTTGGCTGGGACTAGGGAGGCGAGTCTACGCCCGAGGATTGAGGAGATTGAGTAGGGCATACGAGATACCTTGCTGTGCTGTTTGGGCTGAACTTGGATCCGATTCTTGAACGGCTTCTAGCTTTCGTGGTCTTTCACCTTCGGAGGCTTCGTAACCATCTAGTTCTATGTTCTCGGACTCGAAAAGTCAACCGAAGATAGTAGCAATGAAGTGCAGATGCATCTGATGAGAATTGATTGCCTCGTACAAGCAGAATGTGGCCAGTATTTGTTTGTCCAGTGACAAGCATTGTTTTCATATTACACGCGAAACGACAAAAGCGAAAACGAAGAGCTGTTCCGTCGACCCCAGCTATATCAAGTCAAACGCATCACACCATAGGAATCATTGAGCAACCAGTAAAACGTAAGTCAAGCAGAACCTTCCCTCCCAGTACGCCTTCGTTTGCACCACCCCCAATACCGAAAGACAACAGCATCACAAACGAGATTGTCCTTGTTTCAACCCAGGGTAATGGAGAACAGGAAGTCGTAAGTCTCAGTACGGAAGTCCGCGGCCACCACCACCACCACCACGCCCACGCCCACCTCCGCCTCCACGGCCGCCGCCGCCACGAAATCTGCCGCCGCCGCCGCCGCCGCGGCCTCGACCAAACCCCCCACGACGTGGGCCTCGATCCCGTGGCCTGAACTCACTGGGTCGAGGGCCTGCGGCCATACGAGCTTGGCGTTCCTCGTCACTCATATGGAACTTGTTCTCGATCCCTATCAGCTCGCAGAACTGCGCGGTTTGCGGGTTAGTATACTCGATGGGCTGTTCCTCCGTGTTAAGCGGGACAGCTGGGTCGTAGACTGGGGCCGTTAGAGTGAAGTTCTCGGGCACGTCCAGCTTTCCAGTCTGAACCACGTGTTCGTCCACCCATTTCTCCTCCTCCTCGATCAGCGGCTTATATACCTGATCGCCCTTGTCAGCCGGAGGCTTCGCGGCGGGGTCTCCGAGTTGAAGGTCGTCAGCGAAGACACGGGTAATTGCTAGCCATTCTTTGTCGTACTGCAAACGATAAGGGCGTTCGGTACTGATGCCTTCTTGGTCGGAGATAGCTTCGATCTCGAGCAGCTGTAGGAAGTGGCGTTGAGGAAGGCATTTGTCAAGTGCCAGGAAGTTAGTGGTCTTGTTGAAGATAGCATCGGGCAACGGTCCGTTCAATGGGTAAGGTTCGGGCTGAGGGCGTGCGAAGCTGGCAGGAAGTTGATTGCGAATATCTTCAGGAATGTCAGTTCCACTAGCCGGCAAAGCCGGGTCAGCCTGCGTAGTAGTCTTTGAGTCATCGCTAGGGACTGCCTTGTTAGAGGAGGGCTCGTCGGTCTGTCCGGTCACGGGTGTAGAGACTTTGTGAGGAGTCGTTTCCGCATCGGAGTCACTGTCCAGGTTGAGGTCGATCTCGTCGGAGTTCTTCACGGCTTCGGGTTTGTGCTCGGTCTTCAGCTTCTTGTTGGCGCTATCGCGTTCGATGCCGGTGTAGACACGACCGGATCCGTCCTCGCCGGTCTCGATTCTTTTCCATGTCAGATCGTGCGAAACGCTCGGTTTTAGAGCTGCATACTGAAGGGATTGATCTGCCAGAAATCGAGAGTTCTCAGCCGCCTCAGCCTCAGCAGCCACGGTGTGGAAATTATTCCATGCTGAAATCTTACTCTTGTCATCACTGGGTTCGTTGGGGATGTCCTTCTCAGATGGGGCTTCATCCACTTTGTCGATAGCCGAGGGTTGGCTTGCTGTTTCCGCGCTCTCGTGGTTGCCTGAAGGCTTCTGATCCGCGGCAGGTCGAGCTGGGAGAGTACGCTCGGCCTCGGGATTATCATCGGGAAGCGCAAGGGCCGTGAGGAGAGCACCGTCCAAGCCGAAATGGTGCGGAGCACCCGGGGCGGGAAGAGGATCGGGTAGAGGAGCTTCAGCTTTCCTTTTAGCAGCCGGGTGTTCAGGGGTAACATACTCTCCATGAGCGACTATGGCGGCAAACTTCACATGCAGATGGGCGGAGAACCAATGGGCGGGACGTAGACGGTCAAGGACGTACTTGGCCGCAGGGTTGCCCAGTTTACCACTTTGGGAGTCTTCACGGAAGCCTCTCTTTGTGTTGAAGAGATACTCGGAATCTCCGCACAGTTCAACCTGCTTAGGCCAATCGTGAGATAAGCCCAGGTCAACCTGGGTACGAACCTGAAGTAGCTTCCGAACATCAAGCTCTCTCACGTGGTAGATGCCTGAAACATCGTCTCGATTATAAGGCAATCTCTCCGAATGCGGCTTTCTGTAGTCATAGCCCTTCCAGATACCAGACATGCCAGCGATGCGGAGGGGGCCGAACCGAAGAACGTTCGCTGCACCCAAGTAGTAAATATTCGGGGCAACCCACCCTCCGTAGTAAAGTTCGAAGAGATGATTGCCAGCCTCATGGTTACCTCCGATGAAAATAGTCAGATAGGGTGCGGTGCGTTTCCCACTGTAGTACTCGTGAAAGTCGCCTAACTCCCTGTACTTCTGAGGTACAGACATGCAGGCAAGATCGTTGGCATTGCGGACGGCCTAGAGATTCAGTTGAGGAAAGGATTGCTACTGAGACCAAGCGAGGCGATCGCGGAAGACTCACCTGGAAATCGCCACCTATGATGACCACGTCAACGCCATCCCATCCTTTCAAGGTGGCGGCGTTCTCAACTGATGCGTATATGTCGTTGAGGCAGCCGTGTCCCTGCGAAGAGTATGTTGATTAATCTCGCAGCCTCCAAAAGTAGCGCTCGGGCCAGGCGATAGACCACTTACACAGCCTTCAAAAGCGACCCTGACAGAAGCAGGACTAGAGGTTTGTTGGGCCTCCATCGCACTGGAGGATGGCCTACTTATGGTCAAGTAGCCAAGTAGATCTGGAGGCAGGCGGAAAAGAAGCGAAGAATCCAACAAGCGAACACCCGCAGTTTTGTTGTCAGAAAGAATTTTTGAAGACTTGTCTTCTTCTAAGTAAGATCGAGAGAGATAAGTAGCTAGGAAGTGAGAGACCGGAGTCGAGAAGGTGAAAGAAAAATACAAAACAAAGAAAGCAAGTGGGCGAGCACGAGAATTGGAGGGAGAGCAAAGAAAGCCGAGTACTGAAAGTACCAAAGAAGTACCAAAGAAGTAACACCTCCAGCGAGTGCGGGTGTTTGATTTGCTTGCTTTGCATCCGCCAATTCCTCTTTTTTGGAGGGAGCACCATTTTAAAATCAATTCCCAATTCACAACTGACCCCCTATCAATTCGCCCTTTTCCCATTCACTTGAATTTGTATATCTTGTCCATTGCTTAGGCAGCCTCTTTCCAAACCAAAATATGCCACTCAGTGATCATGCACCTAGGCTGGAATATCTGAAGAGCTCAGCAAGCTTTTTAGAGGCCGCAAGCCCATCGACCGCGGCCCATCTGATGTCCGTTCACCATAACATCATTCGCGACGAGTTCAAGCCCTTAAATCAGCGACAGCAAGAATTTGCTTGTGGAGCATGTGGGAGCCTCCGAAACTCCAAGTCGACCAGGACTGTTCAGGTCTCGAAGAGGAAAAAGAAGCTTGCAGGCTTGAGTGCTGAGGGGGCTACGGTTCTGATCTGTCTTCGCTGCCGTCGACGCACCGTCAAACCCTCCAAAAAAGAACCTATTCGCTCCAATGATCCAGTAGTTCCGGTGACTACGGTACCGAATGCAGTTGCGACTCAATCCTCAACGTCTACGAGGCCTTTGCCCGGACAGCCAGCCCCTGCACTTGCGGATCCAGATAAGGCTGTTAAATCCGCGGAAAATGCCAGTAGCAAGAAAAGAGCCAAGTCTCGCAAGCAAGGTGGTCTGCAGGCACTAATGGCCTCGAAGCAACAATCTCGCCCGACCTCGTCCCTCGATCTCTTTGATTTCTTGCAGCAGTGAAGATCACATGACTGCTGCATGCCACGTGACCGATGCGGACAATCGGGGAGTGTCTCCGGCACACTTTGGGGCTAGCGCGGGGTTCCTCGGCTTCCAGTCGGTCGGTGCTTCCAGCTGAGCGTTCCCCTCGTAACTTAACTACTTCTCAGCTGGCTGGAAGCTCCACCAGCTCCTTCCTTTGTTTCTATCAACTTTCTTTCTTGCAGCTTTTCTCCCGCACCTTAGCTTGGCTACACATCCTGTCCACCTCATATAGCCTGCCTTTTCGATCGTCGGTCGCTCCTTGTCTAACCAGCACAATGTCGACTTACTCTCATGATGATGACGAGCACGATCCTCAGGCTGATGAGCTCCGGGAGACCGCTTTGGTCACGCTGGAAACGCTGATCAGTGCTTGCGGTCCCCAAATGCAGCCCTACATGCCTTTCGCCATTAACGCCGCCCTACGCTACCTCAAATACGACCCCAACGTGGCAGAAATGGAAGATGAGGAAATGAGTGGCACTCAGGACGACGGCTCCGAAGATGACGTAACGGAGGACCCTGATCTCGATGACGAGGAGTTTGAGGACTTTGAGGAAGAAGGAGGATACAGTGACATTGATGATATGAGTTGGAAAGTCCGCCGATGTGCCGCCAAGTTGCTGTACAGCGTTATCTCGACCTTCGGCCATAGCCGCGCGCTAGATGAGGCATCCTTGTATCAACAAATTTCCCCCGCTCTTATCGCTCGATTCAACAAGGAGAGAGAGGAGAGTGTGAAGCTGGAAGTCGTTTCTACTATGACTGCTCTCATCCGAAAGACTGGTGAAGGCTCCATGATCATAACCTCCAATGGCTTCCTTGAGGCTGTGGGTGGCTCGAAAAATTCTAGGAAGCGCAGACGCCAGGATAGCGATGCAAGCATGATTGACTTTGAGCCAGGCATTGGCACCTCCTCCGCTGTCAGCACACCTATTCTCACTCCGGCTTCCCCTAAGTCTGGTGCGCAGGCAGAATTGTCTCGCTCTGTACCTACGATTGTGCAGAGCGTTGTCAAGATGTGGAAACAAGCTTCCGTGCCCCTGAAACAGGCGATTATCGTCTTACTCAGAAGCTTAGCACTGGTCCGCTACGGCGGCTTGACTGATCACCTTCAACAGATCGAAGATCCTATAGCCGATGTCCTCAAATCTTCCGTTTCTAGCACCTCCTCCACTTCGCTAGGGGCCTCTGCGAGTACCGGTACTCTTCAGACTGAAACCCTCGGTCTCATCTCCGCAATTGCCGAAACACACACGTCGGGTGCTCTTTTGCCTTTCTTGATCGCCCTGATTCCTGGTGTTATTGGCGCTGTCAATGATCGTAACTACAAAGTCAGCAGTGAGGCACTGGGTGCCGTGGAACAGATTGTGAAAGCACTTACGCCTCCTCGAGTTGCCAGCACAACCCAGGATCTCGCAACTCAGCTGGATAGATTGTACGATGTGGTTCTTGCACGTATCACTGATACCAGCGCTGATCTCGAGGTTCGGCAACGTGCGATTCACGTCTTTGGCGTGCTTCTGGCACGTACCTCCGGCGAAAATGGTTCGACATTTATCTCCCCTGACCGTCGTTCGAAAGGCCTCGCAGTTTTGGTTGATCGCCTTCGAAATGAGACCACACGCCTTGCAGCGGTTCGGGCAGTCGACGATGTTGCTATTCTCTGCGCTCGTGACGCAGATGTTACCGCATCGTGGGTCGGCGAAGTCACAGCAGAGCTCGGAGCACAGCTGCGGAAGTCGGATCGCGTTCTTCGGGGAGCCAGTCTGGAGGCTCTGCGCAGCCTGGCCATGAATCCTAACACAAAGAGCCATTATGATGCTAGCACCATGAAGGAGCTGGAAGACTGTCTTCTGCCACTCATAAGCGCTGAGGACTTCCATTTCCTCGCCCCCTCACTTATCATTCTCGGGAAACTTATACCTGGCAACGCCGAGCTCTTGGTCAATGACAGTCTGGTTTCTGCACTCTGTTCCGTTGTCCTTTCCCCCCTCGTCGGAACAGTACTTAAGGCCATGCTTCTGGTGGTGAAAGTCATCGGAGAGGCAGGCGCAGGAGCAGCATTGATGAAGAAACTTTTGCGGGATGTTGGCATTAACGGTGATACCTCTGTTGTCGGGCGAGCCATTGGGACGCTTCTTGTGCATGGCGGGTCTAACTTGGGTGTCAAGATGGAGGACTTCATGACCGAATTACACACCGCACCGGACGCTCAGCGAAAGTGCCTTGCGCTCGCTATTTTGGGCGAAATTGGTCTTCGAATGGGCGCTAGCTGTTCGCTAACTCCAGAACTTTTCATCGGCCACTTCAATTCCAAGTCAGACAAGGTCCGCTTGGCTGCGGCTGCAGCTCTGGGAAATGCGGCGGCGGGCGATGTGAAAGCATACCTACCTAACATCCTGGGTGGGTTGAAAAAGAGCGACCCGCAGAGTTACCTGTTACTTCATTCGGTGAAAGAATTGTTACAACATCCTGAGATCGTCAGACCTGACTTAGCTCCTTCCGCGGCCAAGCTCTGGCAGGCACTGCTGGTGGTCTCCGAGGTGGAAGACAACCGTGCTGTTGGCGCGGAATGTGTTGGTCGTCTGGCCCTTATCGATCCCAGTGCCTACATCCCTCTGTTTCAGGTAACCTCCCGCTACTAAACTTTCCCGCATCAAATCGGAACGTGCCAGGACCTAACGATGAACATAGGATCATTTCTCCAACTCAGACGCCAGTATCCGTGGTGTTGTCATCTCTGCCTTCCGTTACACTCTCGCCGACTCCAGAGATACCTACAACGATGTCCTCCGACCCACCATCGTCCCTCTTCTCGTCAACATGCTCAGTGACCCAGACCTGGGCAACCATCGTCTCGCTCTGACAACGTTGAATTCCGCCATCCACAACAAGATGGACATCCTCCTTCCCCATCTCAATGAACTCCTCCCCGCTGTCTTCGAGGACGCCAAACTCAAGCCTGAACTCATCCGTGAGGTGCAAATGGGCCCCTTCAAGCATCGCGTCGACGACGGCCTGGAACTCCGCAAGGTAAACCGCACACAGCCCCTTCCATAGCTCTCTCTCTCTCTCTCTCTCTCTCTCTCTCTCCACCCCACCCCTTTCCCATGAGCCAGACCCAAACTGACAGCTTTCCTTTCAAAAAAGTCCGCCTATGAGACGCTCTACGCTTCCCTCGACACAACCTTCACCCTGCACCACATTGGCGAATTCTTCGACCGCATCCTCGCCGGCATCGATGACGAGCAGGACATCCGCACCATCTCCAACCTGATGACCTCGAAGCTCATCCACATCGCGCCCGAGGAGACCCAGCGCCGCCTCGATGCGCTCTCGGAACGCTACACGGCCATCCTGTCCTTCAAGCCCAAGGAGAACGCCGTCAAGCAGGAGCTCGAGAAGGCGCAGGAGGCCTCGCTGGGCGTGCTCAAGATCAGCCGCGAATTGAGCAAGGCGTTCCCCAGTGCCGAGGTCGCGGGTGACCACCACAAGTGGAAGGCCTATGTGGAGTGGATCCGGAAGACCTTTACCGCCCAGATGAAGACCATCGAGGCAGAAGCGTAGGGTCGCTACTGGCCTCGACCGACCGCTTTATCTGAACGTGGAAATGGCTTGCCAATGCCGGCCGACAGAAGGCCTGGAATTACCTTGGCAGCTTTAGATCGCATAAGCAGAATCACAGTCACAGATTACAAGGTGCACATTATCTAGACCGGACGTATATTTTAGCAGTAGTGTGCAAGTGGGCAGTTTTCAGCATCAAGATGTTCGCTACGTAAGTCTTGTAGAAGGTCCTCGTCTACGCATTGCACAGCCAGAACTTCCCTTCCATGCAGTGAGGTGAGAGAAAGTGATTAGAATTGTATTAGAACAAGTACCAATGCAATGCACAACAAAAGCCCAGGGGTAGTCCGCTCGAAAGTCAAATGCTCAAGTCACACAACTCCTGGTATGCAAGCCTCTTGGGTCAAAAACATCAAGTGTGACGCCATCCATCCAACATGAAGATCGACACCGAGGGGGAAAATGTGTACACGAAATAAAATAGAAAAGCAAAACCACCTTCAATGCCAGTAAAACTCCATATCCTGCAAAATTAATGCCGCCGGTCTCATGCCGTGATCGCCTTCTTCCGGAGCACACCAAGCTTCTCGAGTTTGGCCCAGGCCCGGTCCATGTCAGAACCGTCTTCAAGAGACGGCCGTAGTTCCAGTCCATCCAGGATTTTGATGGACCCACCACTGCCTGCATAAAGCATGAGCTCGAAGATACTGCGCCGCAATCGTGTCGCCTCGTCCAAGTGAGACAGGTGCTTCTGGTCTGCCACTGGGTCCGCTAATGGAAGGGTATAGGGGTCATGGATTTCGAGTTCTTTTATGCCATCCGACTTATCATCTTCCCTCACAGCAATCGATGAATTCAGGTCGAAATCCTTGAATTCGGCCAGAGCCGATGGGATGTCCGAGTTGACGTTGCGCTGGGAGCGGTCCTCCCTAATTTTAAGCTTCTTTGTGTTGGCTGTACCGCTTTTGATGACTGCAGTTGGGTAGAACCGCAACGTAAGCGGGTTTCCTCGGGTATCAATTTTCTGGAGAGAGCAGACTCTCCCTTTGTTAGTCCGTCCTATGCGACCCAGGACTTGACAAAGACGCCTGAGTCTGGTAATGTTGTTGCCAGCGATCGTCAGTCTGGATAGACATTTCATGCCCACCAATCCGTTGACTCCCTTGAGTGAGTTAAAGTTCATGTTCAAGACCACCACATTGGGGAAGCTTGATGCGAAATCTTCCGGAAGGTCTTGTAAGCTGCATGAAGCGATGTCCAGGAGCTGCAGGCTCAGAAGGACGTTGGATGGTGCAAGACAGCGCGGTGCCAGCCTATTAGAGGAAAGAAATACTTTGCGTATGTCTTGCGTCAAGCCCAAGTCAATATCAAATAGGCCGCCATTGCTACCACTCATTTGCTCTCGAGCA